AGGACAGAGATCCTACGTGGGGAGCATGAACCCAGTGACTCCCGTTGTTGATTTAACAATTGGCACTCTTATTTATGACGTCAGCAATCACCCAAGACTCTTGCTATGAGCTGTCTAGGCTGTGGAAGTCCCTTGAGTTCACCAACTCTGAATTTGTTTAGTCAAGGCTATATCACAGTGGAGGTTCCTTCCTCCCTTCAGAGAAAGGCACCTCTCTCCTTGATGGCCTGATCCTTCTGCTGGGGTCTTGTTCACCAGGATCTTTCATTTAGATTGTTTTTTGGCACCGTGTCATAGCTTTCCATGCCTGTGAGACTCTCATGGACCTTTTAGTCAGATCCGAATGTCCCAAGGGTTGATTCTGAGGCAGGAGTGTTGTTTTGGGCGTTTGCCATTCTGTGAGTCTGCTGTGTGTCCTGCTTCCCCTGCAGGATCATTCTCTCCCTTTTGATTCTATCCTTTAATGAGATTATTTGATGCTATCTAGAATCTAAAACCGTATTACTTTCTTAGCATTCTCTATGTGTGGTTACAACCAGTGTTTTAATGTAATTTGTCATAAAACACACAATGTCACTATAAAAGGCACATCCTAAATACTGGCTTTAAGTCTGTATTTCAGTTTAGGGAGACAATCTGTTTATGATAACATGGCTTTCAGCTAAGATTACAATTTCTGGGGCCGGCACTGTGGCTTAGCGGGTAAAGCTGCCACCTGCAGTGCAGGCATCCCATATGGATGGCGGTTCAAGTCCAGACTGCTCTACTTCTGATCCAGCTCTCTGCTATAGCTTAGGAAAGCAGTGGAGGATGGCCCAAATCCTTGGGCCCCTGCATTCGCATTGGAAGACCCGGAGGAAGCTCCTGGCTCCTGGCTTTGGATTGGCGCAGCTCTGGCCATTGCAGCTAATTAGGAAGTGAACCAGCAGATGGAAGACCTCTCTCTCTCTCTGCCTCTCCTCTCTCTGTGTAACTCTGACTTTCAAATAAATAAATCTTAAAATCACAATTTCCATATAATCAATTAACCACAAGATGGCACCACTGAACAATTAGCTTACCTCAAGATGATGTCTAGATTGTCTAGATAGATGTTCAAGAATAGTGTCATCAGTCTTCCAAATCTATGTCAATCACCTATAATGAATAGCTTCGGAAAGAGAAAAATAGTCACTTTCTTACGGACATCACTTTAACCAGTTGATCAAGGTTAAGATCATTGATCATTCAGGATGATATCATGTACCTTTTATATAGTGTGATGAAAAGGGCACTTCACCTCTGATGTATTATGTCCTGAATCCCATAACCTCAGAATGATCATGATAAAATATCAGCCTAAACCAAATTTAAGGATATTCCACAAAATAAGTTGGCTAGTACTGTTGAAAGTGTCACAGTCATGAAAAATAAGAGATGATCCATCACAGATTAGAGGAATCTAAGGAGACAGGACAGCTTAAGTGGAACATGGAATCTAGGTTTGGGTTCTAGAAAAGTGGACATGAGTGAAAAAAAACTAGGGAAATCAGAATGAAGTATATAATTTACTTAAGAGTACTATACTGATACTTTTTTTTTCCAGTTTTGACCAGTGGACTGTAGCCATGTTAATTTGGTGTTAACATTAGAAGCTGAGCTGCGTGAAAGATATATTCATATATTAAGTAAAGTTATGGGGGGGAAGCCACTGTAATCCAAAAGCTGTACTTTGGAAATTTATATTTATTAAATAAAAGTTTTAAAAAAGATATATTCATATAGGAACTATCTGAACTGCCTTAGAAACTGCTTTCTAGGAATAAAAGTATTTGAAAACAAAAGTTTAAAAAAGTGAAGGTGCAGGGAGAGAACTCTGACATTGTATCTTAGTAGAAATTTTCCATTTTTTTCATCTATATACCAGATTTCTGCGAAAGCTTATATAATGGTGTGGCATATTAATCATTAATCACTCCATGGTTCCAAGACCCAGGTTTTTCCACCTGTATGCACAGTGAGCATGTTTTCAAACCCCACCTTAGAATATATTATCTGACAAAATAATTTGTACAATTTTCAAGTGAGAACCAATCACAGATATTGAGGGTAGAACTAAGATTTTTTTGTGTTCTATGGCCAAGGAAGGCACTTTTTAGTGACATTCAGATATCTCATTAATGTGTGATGTAAGTATGATGGAAGTAGATTTCAGATGTTTAAATTTTTTATTTCATTTTTAATCAAATCAAATAATGTACAGCCGACATCTTTGCTAACATACCAAATACTTTGTATTGTACAGATTAGTAATTTGTCCTGTCAATAACTTCTTGAAATCAAGGAAGGAAACATTGTAACTATTTAAGTGGTATGTGACACCCATTTTCCAAAATTCTGTATTTGTGCATACAGATGTGGAAAAAAATTTAACTAGAAAATTTTTGCATGAGTAATTGGGAAAATACCTTCTAAGACATAGGATTGAATAAAAACGTGAATATATAATCTCCCACAGAGTGACAAATAAATTTGGAGGGTCTACAACATATTGAGTCATTTTTATAGACTCAGTTTAAAACTATTTTTAACTCTCCAGAAAAATGTTACCTCGCTCTGTCAACAAAGGTTGCCCAAATTAAGACAAGTGACAGAACATAACAGAATCTCATGCTCCTTTGAAAAATTTAAGATCAAAAATCAAGCTAAACATGTTGCAAAGGAGGGGACGTTGTTGTAGAGCAGCCAATGACACCAGCATCCCATACCACAGTGGTAGTTCAAATTCCAGCTGCTCTGCTTCCAATCCAGCTCCCTGCTAATGCATTTGGGAAAGCAATGGAAGATGGCTCAAGTCCTTGGGCCTCTATACCCATATGGGAGACCTGGATGGCCCCCCTGGCTTCTAGCTTCAGCCTGTTGTGACCCTAGCCAATTCTGACTATTTTTGGGGAGTGGACCAGTGGGTGGGCGATCTCTGTGTTTCTCCCTCCCTCCCTCCCTCTCTCTCTCTGCTGCTCTGCCTTTCAAGTACATAAGTCTTAAAAGGAATTGGTTGTTTTTGAAGAGAAGAGAAGAGAAGAGAAGAGAAGAGAAGAGAAGAGAAGAGAAGAGAAGAGAAGAGAAGAGAAGAGAATCCTGATGCTGTTGCTTTGTGGATTAATAACAAACTCTGCTTCATGTCCATCTCTTTTGTAACTCTGATTTGCCTTTGGCATTTCCCCTCAAGATTTTAGGTTAAACAAATAGGTCTTGATGGTGGATTTTTTTTTTCCAATCAATAACCTGTAACTTCTTCCTTTCCTTTAAAAATTCTAGTCTTTGGTAGTTGGAATGTTCCACCTTAAACTGCTCTTCAGATTCTAGACATCTCATTGCAACTTGATCACTAATTTTAGAACACTATCTCTAATCAGGCCCAGTCCCTTGCTTAGTTTCCAGTCTGCTATCCTTGTGTACTAGTTTCTTAGGACTACAATGACAAAGTGCTACAAACCAGATAGCTTAACATAAAAGAAATTTGTTTCTGGGGCCGGCGCCGTGGCTCACTAGGTTAATCCTCTGCCTGCGGTGCCAGCATCCCATATAGGTGCCGGTTCTAGTCCCAGTTGCTCCTCTTCCAGTCCAGCTCTCTGCTGTGGCTTGGGAAGGCAGTGGAGGATGGCCCAAGTGCAAGGCTGGGAGGAAGCACCTGGCTCCTGGCTTCTGATCAGCATAGCTCCAGCCGTTGCAGCCATTTGGGGCATGAACCAACGGAAGGAAGACCTTTCTCTCTGTCTCTCATTGTCTGTAACTCTACCTGTCAAATAAATAAATAATCTTAAAAAAAAAGAAATTTCTTCTCATAATTTTGGAGTCTAGAATTCTAAAATTGAGGTGTGTGCCAGGCCATTTTTCCTTTGAAGGTTCCAGGGCAGGAGTTGGGGGTGGGGTGGGGAGATCCTTCCTTGTGTCTTCCTAGCATCTGGTGTAGCCAGCAGTCCTTGGCATTCCTTGGCTTATAGCTGCACCACTCTTAATTTCTTCTTGTCTTCTACATGGCTGTCTTCTCTGTGTGTGTATGTCCAGTCCCTCTCCCTCATTTCTTATAAAGACACCAGTCATGGACCACCCTAACTTGCTATGACCTTACCTTAATATGATTATATCTGCAAAAATCCTGTTTCCAAATAAGGTCACATTCAGAGGTTCCAGTTGAATCTGCGTTGGGTAGAGGCATTGTTCAATTCAGTACAGTACTATAATCAAAATCTTCTGCTAGAGATAAGGCATTTTTAAATTTAGTTACTCGAAGTAATATCAAAAGGAATTTTTGCTATGAACATGGCTTGAAATATATTTAAAAGGTAACAGCCACAAAGTAAGAGTACTGATTACAAACCTATGTGTTCATACTTTAAAATTATAAATATGTAACTTATATTTGCATCATGCTTTCAATGGAAAAGAATCTTTGAGAATGTATTCCTTTCATAAAGTCTTTGTTTCACAGGATTCAGGGACGTATTAAACAGTTTAGGGGCTGTTGAATTGATCATGATTCACTCTTCCCTGTGATCATTATGGCAAAACTTATTGCTGTGTAGAAAACTCTAATGGAAAGATATGTCTGCATGATGTTAAATTTAGAAAAAAAAATGTGTAGTAGGACATCACTTTTGCTATTTTTATTTGTAAAATGTCACTGTTTGCCTGGGTACTTTGCTGCCATACAAACCTAAAAACACTAAGTAAGCAATAACTTTAAATGGCCAATTAGGTCCACTAATTCATACAAACATAAAATTCAGAATTACTCCATCAACTTTCTTGATTTTTTGAGTGAAATAGTTAAGGTTTCTTTTTTAAAATATTAATTTCATATTTCTGCTTTCTATATAAAACCTTTTTGTTTCATCTGTGTATCATTTGTGTTTTCTAATATGCTATGTGTTTGACGTAATTTAATAGTTTTTACCCTGCTTCTCGCTAGTGGGATTATCTAGCACGAGTCTGACGTTTATCACCATCCTGTGTTTCAGGGACTTCATGAAAAGACTGGTGTGTTTACAGCTGTTAAAGTGATGAACGCTCGTAAGGTAGTGTTATATCCTGGCTGTATTCTTTTCCCTTAATGGACTGCATTATTGAATTTAAACAGCTCAAGATATTGTATTTGTTGCTTAAATCATTATTTTAAATAATTATATAAATTTCCATTTTTCATCGACTGTTATTTGTCTATTAGTTTATTATACTTAGTGATTTGCTATATTTCCACATAAAATACTTCACTCATACCAAAAGTTCCACGTATTTTAGTGTTTTAGAACTATGGGGGACATATCTGTACTCCTGTCTATTTCTAGTTGATTAAGTGTCGTTTGGGATAGCAAAGACGGGATTTTTCTCTAATATTGTGTTAATCCTGCTGTGTTTCTTCATACTCGTCTCTCTAAGGATTCCTTCTGAAAATTGAGGCCGTTAGATTCTCAATGACAGGTAGAAGAAAAGAACTTGTCAGAGATGTACACTTTTCATGAATTTTCTGACAGATGTGCAAGAGAGACAGTTTAATTGGCACTATTCCTGCTAACATTCATAAAGTTGTGTCAAGATTCATTACATATTGTCACAGAATTTGCTAAGCACTGATTTCTGTCCTCTTTCTTTAGCATGAATACCTTACTTTCTCAAGATAATATTAGCATGAACATAGCAAAGGTCGATGTTTTTTCACTTCATTATACCCTAAAGGAAAGTTTATATTTGAAAAACTGCTATACAGATTCACTGAACTGTTGTCAATGCAATACACTGTCTTTTCCACTTTCCACAGGAAATGAATTGCTGAAACTATTTAAAGAGTTGTATGCCTTTGTTTTCCTAGTAAATGTCAAATATTGCAAACTAATGTGAGTTTCAAAGGATTTTGAGGTTTTGTGGATTTATTTTGCCTTATAAACCATGGCTTCCAAATAATGAACTGTGTACTTTTGAGTGAAGACCTCTAAGATACTTATTTGCTTGTTTTAACTTGAGAGGTCTTGAATCACATGCAATCTACATTTCAGATACTCTGACTTTTGAAATATTTAAAAATCATGTTCAATGCATAGATGGCTAGTGATACTACCTGGTTTTGAAAGGGGTAAATAGCACTTTACTAACATCAAATTGTCAACTTCCCATTAATATGTCAGGTAATTCTGTTACCATGGATTTGATGCTAAGTTTCCATATATAATAAGAAATTGATTTTTTTCAATTAAAATTTTTAGTGAACATTGAGAGAACAAATAACCTTATCTTACTCTTCCATTTAGTGCCAAAGGAGCACAAAATTCTTAAGCATAAATCATTTTCAGAGTCTAATAACATTTTCTCCTTGGTTTTGCAGACCCCTCTACCTGAAATAGGAAAACGAGTGAGAGTGAATAAATATCAAAAGTCTGTTGGGTGGAGATACAGCGTGAGTACAAAAAGTTCTCATTAGCTCTCCCGTAATCTTCCCTATAATTTTCAACTTTCAATTTTTCCATTTGCATGGTATCATTGACTCTAGAAGGCTGCCACTAAAATGTTCTTGCTTGAAAGTGATAACATGTTCACGTAGATTCAGACACCGTAGTTGAATATAAGCACATGTCACAGCGGGACTCGGAAGAAATGGTCCCATAAACAGGAAGGTGCTGCTTGCAGGCCAGAGATTGAGTCTGTCTCCAGGCCATAGAATGCTGTAGCTGGGTAGCACAAAAGAGGAGCGATGGGGAGGGCTCAAGAGCAAATTTTGCCTTAAGTTGGCCTTGGTGAATTCTTTCTCACATCTTTATACATGGTGTTCTGGATGGAATGACATTTTGCTCGTTATGATTCTTTTTTTTAAAGATTTATTTTATTTATTTGAAAGTCAGAGTTACACACACACAGAGAGAGAGAGAGAGAGAGAGAGGTCTTCCATCCGATGGTTCACTCCCCAATTGGCTGCAACGGCCAGAGCTGCACCGATCCAAAGCCAGGAGCCAGGAGCTTCCTCCGGGTGTTTCACACAGGTGCAGGGGCCAAAGAACTTGGGCCATCTTCCAGTGCTTTCCCAGGCCATAGCAGAGAGCTGGATCAGAAGTGGAGCAGCCAGGTCTCAAACCGGCACCCCATATGGGATGCCGGTGCTTCAAGCCAGGGCGTTAACCTGCTGCGCCACAGCACTGGCCCCACTCATTATGATTCTAACAAACATTGTATGTAAGCCAAATGAGGACTGCCCCTTTCTAAAAATTGTATGAGCAATAGCAGGCAGAAAACAAACTACTCAGCCTAAAAGTCTTCAGACACCTGGAAACTATGCCTGAACACCTGAAGAAGTATGAAGGTGCTTTCTATTTGTGGTGCTTTGAGTCCTGTAAAAGTAGTCTTTCTGATCCCAATTATTTACTGACTCTAGGATATGCTCAGGTAAAGATTATTCTCCTTCTCAGAACATGTTGGTGATGTGATCTGTTAGAGCATTGTGTGGTCCTAAAAGCAGAATTCCTGCTCTTATCAATATAATTCATTGATATGTTTTCCTACATTCCCCCCCTGCAGTCAACTATATGAGATTCCCTTTTCCCTCTCATTAAGAATAATTTTCCCTTAACACAATCACATTCAAAATAGTTTTAGTTATTCTAGAAAAAATATTGTCCAGGAGCTTCATGATCCATCTATTGAGTACAAGGCTCCTGTTTTGTTTATAAGGTATCTTGTGAGACAAAGTATATCCAAAAGAAACAGCTATAACAGGCAACATCATGCTTTGATGGATCAAGAAGACACAAAAGGGGCCAGCATTGTGGCACAGCTTCTTAAGCCATTGTCTTTTGATGCTGGCATCTCATATCAGAGCATCAGTTCACGTCTGCTACTGTGCTTCCAATCCAGCTCCCTGCTAATGTGCCTGGGAAGGCCGTGGAACATGACCCAAGTGCTAGACTAGAGTGCCTGTTACCCAAATGGGATACCTAGATTGAGTTCCAGGCTCCCATTTTGGGCTTGGCTCAGTTCTACTCATTGTGGTCATTTGGGGAATGTACCAGCAGATGGAAGATTCATATTCTCTCTCATTCTCTCCTCCACCCCTCGTCAAACACAATTAAATCTGTTTTTTTTTTAAAGAAGCCACAAAAGGTAAGGTATGAAAAAGAGAATTACTTGTTCACTTCTGGTTTCACCAAATATTTGTGTTAATAAAATTCGTTGAAAGATTTTCTGTAAGCCCTCTTTGGAGCTATTCCACAGTGAAAAGAATTTTGGTTCTAGAATTGGGTGAAATTACAAAGGAAGTTTTGGCATCCTTGAGCTGCCTCTTCTTGACAAAAAGCAGAATATTCAGTCCAGTCTGGGATCAGCTGGCTCTGAGCCAGGAAATGCTATAGCATCATATTACTGGGAGACGTGTAGAAGTTTTAAATTACTCTCTTGGCCTAATGGATATAATGTTCTTGTGTGTTTTTCACAGGCTCAACTTCCTGTTAATTCAGAGTGGCAAACACACTTGTGCTTTTCATACGTATTTGATTATCTGTTTGTTTTGGGGGAGTTTCATTTATATAGGAAACCAACTCCTAGAAGATTTTTATAGCTGGGGACTTTGAATTCTGTGATTATATATTTCAATAAGAAAAATAACTGCTAGCTAGTCAGCTAGTTAGCATCTCCAAATCATCTTGAATGTTTTGTATAAAAAGTATATGACTTGCTGCACAACTCTTAAATGTCAGGGATTTATAGAAGTAGCAATGATTTAGAAGTCCACAAACATAAGTTCAAATCCCAAGTCTACCATTAAATAGCCAAAACGTTCTTGGGAAAGTGATCCTCTTAGCTCTCTAGGCATCAGGTTCTTCATAGGCAAAGTAATACTACAAATACAAGCACATAGCTAACTAGAGCCTGGACATTTTCTTATTCTTTCTTGGAGACATGGATTTTGTAACCTGGAAAGAAAAGGAAGCTCCTCAAATAAAACTACCCAGCAGGTTGAAGGATGCAACTTTGCCCCTTCTTCTCTTTAACTTGTAATTTGTATTCTTGATATTACGCCATCAGCTCATTCCTAGTTATGATTCTGTTTATGAGTTCATATTCCTCTCGGAAGAACGTTGGTTCTTAACAGAAACTGTGAGCATCCAGCTAGTCCCTGTCGTTTATTTCTGTAAAGTGCCAGATATTGTTATTTCAAAGGAAGGCTACCTCACAAGGGAAGTAGAAAGTTGAAGGGTCTTCCATGGCATGATTAAAATCCACAAGATCAACTTTTACCTTTCTAGAAAAAGGTAACAGGAACTTGAAGGGAATTTATTGACTGAGTTTCCTTGGGAAGCTGAGATAAGTCTGGAACCTGAACTTTCATGTGATTCTCATGCTACAAGTTAATTGTTTTGTTTGTTCATGCCTTTATTAAACAATAAATAGAAACTGCCATCGAAGTTTCCAACTGGACAAATCAAGCTCCAAACCTATAAGAAATAGGTATTTAGGTTTACTTTCTAGTACTTGACTGTTTATGGGTAAATCCCCTGGAAAATCCTAAGAAAATGCCAAAGAATGTTTTCCAGCTGCCAACCATCACTCTGAACTTTCAAACTTTTTTTTCTACAATACATGTTATAAATCTGGATATTTGGGGGGTAGAAAAGTTAATTTACAAGCAAAAATAAAATCAACTTGGAGACACTACAGAACCTCATGTATCACTTTATATTTATTTCATAAGTATTTTGAAAGCCCAGCCACAAAATAGCTAAACATAAAAAGTAATTGCCCATTTTTCCTGCCAAGTCTTAGAGAATAAGCTAAGAAGCAAGGCGATAACTGAGTAGATACTCATTTCAGCAAAGAGACTTATTTCTTCAGATCATTAAAGCAGGGTCATTGAGGAAAAATGCTGAGAACTGAAAATAATTGGATTTAACTCCTTAATTGCTTTTCATGTGAATGGGCCCTTTTCTTTCTTTTTTTTTAAGATTTATTTATTTATTTGAAAGAGTTACACACACACACACACACACACAGAGACAGACAGACAGAGACAAAGACAGAGACAGAGAGAAAGTCTTCCATCTGCTGGTTCACTCCCTAGATAGCCGGAACAGCCAGAGCTACGCCAATGCATAGCCAGGAGCTTCTTCTGGGTCTGCCACGCGGGTACAGGGGCCCAAGGACTTAGGCCATCTTCCAGTGCTTCCCCAGGCCATAGCAGAGAGCTGGATCAGAAGTGGAGCAGTCCCTATGGGATGCTGGCACTTCAGGTGGTGGCTTTACCCAATATGTCACAGCATCGGCCCTGTCCTAATTCAAAGCCCAAAAGTTGTCAAAGGTATCCTTTTTCACTGGATTTATGAACAGGGAATGTTTGTATTTTCAATTCAAATTCTACAAGTATATTCACTTTGAATAATAAAGTATTCCTAAAATGCATATATAAATTGGACTTTAATAGATGAAATAAGAGAGCTTCTTTTTATTTACAATCAAATAAAATTTAGAGTTAATAGTAATTCAAAGCACAGTGGTAAATCCATTTTTTGAGCACAGAATCTCTTCCTGAGTCATCTCACATCACCTTTGACTCCATTAGGTACCGTCTTATATTCATCATTGCTGATGTCATTCATATATGTCAATTTTATTTCCTGTATGAGAGGTTTTTTTTAATTACTTATTTGAAAAGCAGAGTGACATTGCCAGAGGGAGAGAGAGAGAGAGCTTCCATCAATCCACTGGTTCACTCCACATATGGCTAGAATAGTCAGGGTTGGGCCAGGCTGAAGCCAGGAGCCAGGAACTCCATCCAGGTCTCTGACTTGGGTGGCCAGGATGCAGGTACTTGAGTCATCATCTACTTCCCAGGCACTTTAGCAGGGAGCTGGATCAGAAACAGAGTAGCTAGGGCCGGCGCCGTAGCTCACTAGGCTAATCCTCCGCCTTGCAGCGCCGGCACACCGGGTTCTAGTCCCGGTCAGAGCGCCGGATTCTGTCCCAGTTGCCCCTCTTCCAGGCCAGCTCTCTGCTGTAGCCAGGGAGTGCAGTGGAGAATGGCCCAAGTGCTTGGGCCCTGCACCCCATGGGAGACCAGGAGAAGCACCTGGCTCCTGCCTTTGGATCAGCGCGGTGCGCTGGCCGCAGCGCGTCGGCCGCGGCAGCCATTGGAGGGTGTGCCAACGGCAAAAAGGAAGACCTTCCTCTCTGTCTCTCTCTCTCACTGTCCACTCTGCCTGTCAAAAAAAAAAAAAAAGTAGCTACGACTTGAGCTGGCACTCCACTATGAGATATAGTTGTCCCAAGTTGCATCTAGCTTAACCCCTCTGTGTTCCATGTATGTTATTTTAAGTTAGGACTGCCACACTTAAATGCATTAATCAATGATACATTCATTGAAAAGTTCCAACAAATTAAGTTACCGTTTTGTAAGCTTATGTTTTATGATATTGTCTCAAATTCATTGCACCTGTATATCAAAAAATGATTATTTTCAAATAGTTAAGAAGAAAAGAGCTTTTCTTTAAGTTGGCTGAGGAATAAGTTACTGAAAGATTATCAAAATCACTTGGTTAGGGCAGGTGTTTGGTCTAATTGTTAAGATGGTAGTTAGGATGCCCGCATTCCACATTGGAGTTATCTGAGTTCAGTACCCAGCTCTGGCTCCCAATTCCAGCTTCCTGCCAATAACAGATCCTAGGAGGCAGCAGTGGTAGGTCAAGTAATTGGGTTCCCATCACCCACTTGTGATACTAGGATTAAATTCTCATTCCTCAGCTTTGGCCCCAGTGCAGCCCTGACCATTACAGGCATTTGGGGAATGAACCAGATGAGGGGAGATGTCTTTCTGTTTGCCTCTTTCTGCCTCTCAAATAAATAAATAACTTTTTATTTTAAAAACTATTTTATTGTCATGGTACAGATAGAGCTGAAACCTAGAGATAATTGCCTCTCATTTCATTCCACTATAACAAATGTACTGGGGATAAAGGGGGCAGATATTTGTAGATTAGAGTAAAAACTAGAGAGAGGTTTTTAATTCTGATAGCACCCTAACTCGAACAAGAAGTAAAGTCATAAAGATACTCTGTCATAAAACTTTGAGTTTGTAGCCTTCTTCTTCCAGGTATTTCAAAGAACACACTCTCTCTATATTATCCCATTTAGTCCCATTAATGTTCCATAGACATAGGTAATGGCTGCCATCCTTCTCCATCATTTTTTAACATGAGTTGAAATTTGGGGAAATTAGTGAATTTCCTAATCTGAGCTATCAATGCTTAAAATCTAAGTTCTCTAATGCCCAGGGTAGGGGCTCTTTTCTGACTAATGTCACACTCTCTTCTGCTAGAGCTATCTCTTGAAGTTATGTATTCTACCTCAGTAACCTCATCCAATCACATAGCTTCAATATCACTATATAGATAATTCTCAAAAATAATACATTTAGGCCTGACCTGTTCTTGGAGTGCCAGACCCATATCTCTGTTCTATAAAATCTTATTCAGCCATAAAAACATATGCAGTTATTTAGTCATATAGAAATATGTATTTTACATACTGATTAAATCATGCAAATTGCAAAATGATGAGCAGAATGTGAGATTGCTAAAAAATTAAATGTCATATATATATGTTGATCATACCTTCAACCATTTATCTCTGTCATTTCTCTAGCTGATGAATTAGCATTGACAAATGTAGACTAAACTGTTAACATTGTTGGGGGAAAATGTTCAGTGAGGCTAGACCATTTATTTTTTTCACCGAACACACACACACATTAAACACATGTATCACTGTGCTGATACGAAATAAATTATCTTAAACATTGTCTTTAAAAATTCCAGTGCAGAACAATCCAATGCCTCTAAAATATAATAAATCACAAACTAATCAAGACTTGTGGTACTGGTTATCCACATGCAAAAGAATAAATTTAGACCCTTTCTTTATACAAAAAATTAATACAAAAAAATCAAAGTCCTAAATATACTAGCTAAGAAGGATAAAAGAAAACTTAGAAAAAAACATAAGGATCAGGATGTAGATTCGGCACAGTAGTTAAGATGCCACTTGAGATGCCTGCGTCCCATATCAAAGTGCCTAAGTTTGAATCCTGTATTTGCTTCCAATTCCAGCTCCCTGCTAATGGACCTGGGAAGCAATAGGTGATAGCCTATGACCCATGGGGGACACCTGGATTGAGTTCTTCACTCTTGGCTTTTGCCTGGTCCAGGCCTAGCTGTAGCAGGCATTTGAGGAGGAAAGGAGTAGATGGGGGCACACTATCTCTCTGCCTTTCAAATTAAAACAATTAGTTAAAAAGACATAAGAGTAGATCTTCATGATCTTTGATTTGGCAATGAATCCTTAGATATGAAACCAAAAGTATAAGCAAAAAAATAGAAGAAATTTACAAATTGAATTTCATCAAAATTAAACATTTTTGTGCCTCAAAGGACGCTACCAAGAAAGTGAAAGACAACTCACAATCTGGGACAAAATATTTGCAAATTGTCTAGAATATATGAAGAACTATTATAGCTCGATAATAAAAGACAACTGTTTCAAATGGGACAAGAGATTTTTTATTATACATTTTTCAAAGAACATATAATGAGCAATAACACGTGAAAAGATGTTCAACATTAGTTAACAGATTCACTAATCAAAACCACAGTAATATACTACTTAATACTCACTAGAACAGTTAAAATAATAAAACACAAAAGAAGTATTGCTGAGGGAATGGAGACATTGGAATTCTTATACATTGCTGCTGGGAATGGAAGATCATGTAGTCACTGTAGAAAACATTTTACCATTTTGTCAAAATGTTGAACATGGAGTTACAAATTCTAACAGTTGCACTCCTGCTTATATCCTCAAGATAAATAAAAACGTGTCAACAGGAAAACTTGACATGAATGCTCATAGAAATATTATTCATAATAGCCAAATACTGCTACCTGTTAGAATGCAGGTGAATCATATACTATGTGATTTCATTTATATAAAATATTCAAAATAGATAAGTTGATAAATTAGTGGTTGCCTAGAACTAGGGTGTGTTTATGATAGAATTGTATATATGAGTATGGGATTTCATTTTGGAATAATAACAGTGTCCAAAATTAATTGCAATAATGATGGCACAGCCGGTGCCGTGGCTCACTAGGCTAATCCTCCACCTAGCGGCGCCGGCACACCGGGTTCTAGTCCCGGTCGGGGCGCCGGATTCTGTCCCGGTTGCCCCTCTTCCAGGCCAGCTCTCTGCTGTGGCCAGGGAGTGCAGTGGAGGATGGCCCAAGTACTTGGGCCCTGCACCCCATGGGAGACCAGGATAAGTACCTGGCTCCTACCATCAGATCAGCACGGTGCGCCGGCTGCAGTGGCCATTGGAGGGTGAACCAACGGCAAAAGGAAGACCTTCCTCTCTGTCTCTCTCTCTCACTGTCCACTCTGCCTGTCAAAAATTTAACAACTTCATTCAGTAAAAAGTGTATATGTTGGCCAATGCTGCTGGTCAAGGGACCACAATTCTAGAACCACTGAATTAAAAGATCCTCAGTGTACCTTTTTCCCCCTCCCAAATTCCCAGTTAACCTTGGATCTGAATTCATTGACACTTCTAGTTGATTTTTTTTTTTACTGTGAATTGCTATACGATACAACGGGTTGCTACAGAATTCTCCTTTGTTGATATACTATAGTTTATCCATAGTCATTAAATTGCATCGCTTAAGAGCTTTGCTCTCTGTTCTTCTTTCCTAGGATGAGGAAGAGGATCTTCGTACTGAACTCAACCTTCTGAGAAAGTACTCTTTTCACAAAAACATTGTGTCCTTCTATGGTGCGTTTTTCAAGCTGAGTCCCCCTGGCCAGAGACACCAACTTTGGGTATGTTTTCAATTACTCTGATCTTATTCCGTAAGAGTAAGTCTTAGCCAAGGATGTACCTTTGTGTGAGTCGAGATGTCACTTTGGTTTACTTACAGGAAGACTTAAGTATTCAACCACCCAAGGTAGTATGGCAAAGTGCACTCTGATTCCTGGAGATAAGAGTGATAAAATATGGAAAGTAATTTGCGTGCCTGGTGGTATGAGGGAGGACTCATATGAACATTGATTATATGTAACTAAATCTTTTCAAATACAGCTTTACTGCTTTTAAGTTTGTGTAATCACTATCTTCAATGGTGTGGAGACTACCTGATGGAGTATCAAATAATAATTGGATAAATATCAGTTCTATTCATACTTGACATGAGCATATGGATGCATTTTAAGTGGTTGGAAAGTATATGTACTGAAGTATAAACATAACTCCTACAAGATGCTTTCTAAATGGGTATTTGACATTTTAGTCATGATTTGTTATGCCTGGAGGATCACAAATCTATGATCAGTGAAATATAAATTGTAGAGGCTAGCTGGACACTATGCTACATAAACCAGAGTTACCAGAATTTTTGCTTCTCTCAACTGTAAGATAAATAGCTAAATTGCAAGAAAATGAGCTTTGGTTAAGAACTTTATTAAAAACAGACTATTTGAACATATACTGGGTCAGTGTATGCGTAACCTCTGTACTTTCTATATTTTCATTTCCAATCCAAGTCAATGATAGTATTTTAAAATAATACTGAAAACTTCAAGGATCTTTAATTGTTGCTGAAAGGTTCTGTTACATTTTATATAATGGACTTTAGCAGAAAGGTATTCAACAAGAGGGTGAATTGAAACAGTGGTTCTCAAACTTCAGCATGCATCAGAATCTGGAGAGCCTGATAAAACATACATTGCTGAGACCACTCACAGAAGTCTCAGATATAGTAGGTCTGGCATGTGAGTCCAAGAATTTCCATTTCTTTTCTTCCTTCCTTCCTTCCTTCCTTCCTTCCTTCCTTCCTTCCTTTGACAGGCAGAGTTAGACAGTGAGAGAGAGAGAGACAGAGAGAAAGGTTTCCTTCCATTGGTTCACCCCCAAAATGGCCTCCAGGAGCCAGGCGCTTCCTCCTGGTCTCCCATGCAGGTGCAGGGCCCAAGCACTTGGGCCATCTTCCACTGCACTCCCTGGCCACAGCAGAGAGCTGGACTGGAATAGGAGCAACCGGGACAGAATCCGGCGCCCCAACCAGGACTAGAACCCGGCGTGCCAGTATCGCAGGCGGAGGATTAGCCTAGTGAGCCACGGCGCCGACCAAGAATTTCCATTATCTAATAAGTTCACAGATAATACTGATGTTGCTGATCTGAGTACCACACATTGAGAGTCACCAAATTTAGAGGTCTTCAACTTAACCCCATATTCCCTTAAATGTCTAGCAAACATGAATCCTCTATTCTCTGACAATTCCAGTTGAGGTTCTATTAAATATTGCTGCATAACATTAATGCTTTTTTTTCATATATTTTTACATAACAAGTGTTTTCCTCTTGATAATATCACAAACTATGAGAAGTATTGCAGCCTCCTTATTGGATATATATAACTAACATTCAGTACATTGTTATTCAAAATATATTCATTGGAAAACCATCTATTTGCTAGGTACTCTACTAGATAGATTCTAGGGCTGCAAAGGTAAGCTAACTAGACCTGCCCTTAGCCCATTGGAGTTTACTGTCTATTTGCAAACACCAACATCAAGCAAATAATCAGAAATGAATGTGTGATTTGTCAGAGATAAATAACATGTTTGTACGTGGGTGAATAACAAAGGAACTGACATTAAGTTGGAAAATGAGAAGCTCTTCCTTGAGGAAGTAAAAGCTGAAAGCATTGAGGCATTTAGCACAGACATCATTTATGGAAATAAGTGGTTTTTTTTTTCCACAGGATGATCCACAGATTCTTTTTTTTTTCTCATTTTTTTTAACTTTTATTTAATGAATATAAATTTCCAAAGTACAGCTTATGGATTACAATGGCTTCCCCCTCCCCCCCCCCATAACTTCCCTCCCACCCGCAACCCTCCCCTCTCCCGCTCCCTCTCCCATTCTTATGTAAATCAGAGAATCAAATAGGAAGTGACTGAATAGCTCAATAACTACTATTTATAAAGTGTATGTTGTAGGACCTGTGCTTATACAACTAGGAAAATGATTGCGAATGCCTCACATTCCTTTTATACGTGGGCTCTTTAGAGTCTCGTAATATTGTTAGGATCTTCCAAGGTCCATTCAAGTTGAGTTGTTTTAATTAAGATTTTTCATTGTTCAAAATGAGCTCCCTTTCTTCCATTACAACAGTGTACATGTTGTGCTCATTTACTGTAGTAAACTCTTAGTTCTACACAGGAAAATCCAACTGCTGTGATTTATTTCTGTATTGTTGGTTTTGTTTGCTGTCTCATACCTTCTTTTTCATGAGAATGTCCTTGAATGTAAGATGTGTAATGACCTCAGTGGTGAACCACAGTAAAGTAGAGGAGTAGTGTTCTGAAAAGTAGAACTTAATATTCTAAAAAGAAATTAAGGTAGACTTTTTTGAATATCATTATTTTGAATTTATCCTTTTGCTTCCACTGATTCATGGGAACAACTAACTTGTCTACAGTTTTATAATGCTATGTTTTGCCCTTTTGATAAAGCAGTTTTGACATTGACAGTAATACATAAACCTGCACTTAAAGAAAAGCTTGCTCTGTTGATTATAATGGTTATATTCTCTTTCACATTGTTCTGTCCTCTAGTTAGCTAATATTATCTGGAGAGAAATTTACTAGTTTGGCACTCAATTCATTGGTGGAAAAAGTAAATTTTCTGAGAAATCATGTTTGTAATACAATAAAATCTGAATGAAATGCTGTCAAAGATGTTGGGTTTCAAATAAGCTTTCCTTAGCAGTAATCACATTTGGAAGAAATTATTCTACAGAAATGCAATTGACAGATTCCTCCTTGGAATTGTTGTTTGACAGTATCTTGGGAAAAATAATCTAGGATGTGAAAATAGAAACAGAGCAACAAAAATCAACCCTTAGTCTTAAGATTGAAATGCAAATGATTCTGAGACTCTCTGTATCCCGTTTCTCTACCTCCAGACTGCTCCCTCAACTGTCCTTTCCTTTCCATGCCAGTCATCGTTCAGCTTTGTCCCCTGGCCAAACTTCTTTATAAGGGCATGTGTTCACTGGGTTTTTCATAAACCGAATGTTCTTCCTTCCAAGTATGTCCAAATACTACCTATCTTAGGGCTTAGCTCAAATCCCACCTCCTGGTTTAATATCCCTGGTATGGTAGCTAGCTTCCCTTCCTGTACAAATCTTTGAGTTTTATCCAACTTTTTCTAATTCCTCTAGGCTCTGGAGTCTTCTACCAGACAACTGAGCCAGTCTTTGCAATGCCTTAGTCTCCGAAGAATACTTATAAATATGAGCCACTTGGACTAAAACTCTTCATATATTTTCAGAGAATGACTCTCTAACTCTTGATACTTTGTTGAATTCCCTGCAGATGGTGATGGAGTTATGTGCAGCAGGCTCAGTCACTGACGTAGTGAGGATGACCAGAAATCAGAGTTTAAAAGAAGACTGGATTGCTTATATCTGCCGAGAAATCCTTCAGGTGAGTCTTCATAGAGTCATTCTCCCCTGGTCTTGAGAGCCAGGAAATAATATATACAATGTACTTTAGACCTGCTCATATCTGATGATTCATGAGCTCCAAATGTACTATCTGTGTGAAGAAACCTAAAATGGCCAAAAAGCTTTGGAGGAAGTAGATGGTCAGGGGATGTCTTTAAATTTTAAGGTAGATGGCAAGATGAGTGTCCAGGTCACCCCAAATCATGGTCTTTAATGACTGTCAGATTTGGACCACTGTGTTAAATGGATCGTGGAAATGACCACTTGGATTATTGGTTATGTTATTATATTTAAAGTTCTGTTTTAAAAAGCTTGGTACTATCATCATGACTTAAGGTGAATCAGGAGAAGTAAATATTCCCCAGAAAGGCCCAAACCTTATGTATCCTTGCATACCAATATGTTCTGTGAACACTGCTCTATTTTTCCTTATTTCTAACACCCAATCAGGAGAGAGCGACTGCCTTCTTGATTTATAAAACTGAGAATTTTCTTTATGCTTTAAGTGCTTAGGATCATGCAAGAAAGATACTAAAAGAACTGAGCAGCAGCACTCGTACTGGGACAGATGCCCTTCTTCCCATGTAGTTGTATTCACTTATAGTCATGGTACAATTGGTTAAGAGTCCATGCTTTGGACTGAATTTAAATTCTGGTTCACTGTGTTATTAGCAGTGTAACTTTGAATCAGTTACTTAATTTCTCCAAGTCTCACTTTCCTCATCTGATACAGGATGGTATTTATACCTTCCTCAAAGATTTGCTTTGAGGATTTAATAATTTACTTCACATAAACCATATAGCACAGTATCTGGGAAAGAACAAGAACTCACTAAATGTTAGCCTTGTAAATTGCTACTTCTATGATTAATCCCCAGTTAGTGTCTGGAGCAATCTCATTGCAGCCTAATACTGCATACCATGTCATGGTGTAGCCAGGTCACGGGTTAGTTTTAGTGGTGAATAGGCTGAAGCCAGCAAGGGAAGCCAACACAAATTGCAAAAGCTTTAAAATGAGTTTCCATATTCCTCCAAATTCTCAGCCTACAAGGCTGACTAGAAAATATTTTGGACTAAACAAATGGTTGGATGAGGAATAGAGCAAAACGGTGGCTGAGCTATGATATTTAAGATGTCCAGGATTTTACTCTTATGGTTAGTTGGAAATATGGAAGCAAGAAAGGAAGGTAAAGTGGCCCAATGTATACAAACATTACTTTTTGGTGTTCCTTTTCTTTCATGGGTGTCCTGATTTATTTTCCTTTCCTTATAGCCAAAAGTAGTATTTCTGGGAAATGGTTGTAGTAATTCCAGCCTAAAGAAAGTATTTTGTCTGAAAAAGAAAATCTGGACCATTTCTTTTACCAAAGGCTTTTCCAAAAATACTAAGAAGAGTACCAGAAAAAAGAAAAACACCTATACTGATGTGGCTTTTTTGTTTTGTATATACAGGGTCTAGCTCACCTTCATGCACACCGAGTAATCCACCGGGACATCAAGGGTCAGAATGTACTCCTGACTCATACAGCTGAAGTAAAACTCGGTAAGTGTTTTCCCACGATGTTTGAGGTGAGGTACAAAACATCTACATGAGATAATTGTGCTATCACGTCCCTGCGAAAATCCTCCACGTAGTTGAGCTAGGGCTTCCCGGTTTACAAAACCAGCCAAAATTTAAAAAGTTGTTTGGGCGGAGAGGGAGGACAAAAAAAAGAGAATGCACTGAATTGATTCTTTGAAAGCGTAGAGATAAAATAACTTTTAACTTTTAATGGGTGGTTTACTTTATGAGCATTGTTTTATCCCCTATTACAGATAGCTCTTAAATTTATCTCAGTAATTAAACTGAGTATTTTTCATGCAGAAGTTTCTTTGTCATGGACAGGAGTAAAGAGCAAAGAAAATTTTTTCAAGTTGCAGAGCCTTATTTCCCCCAAAATCTCAAAGAACTTTTAAATTACTTAGGTACAAATCATTCCTATGGAATTTTCCATCAAACATTTGAACAAATGGTGTTGATTGGAAATGATGCCTCAATTGTCTAAATCAAATTCAGAATTAAAAACCAAAAGACCAGAAAGTCCCCAGCTTTCTAATCCAGTATTCACAGTGGCCTAACTTATTTCAAAATAGCCGCATATTGTTTTACAGGCACACATGGTTGAATGTATCACATAATTTAACATTAAAATACACACATCAATGGTTAGTTTTTAAATAATGCCATATAAATAATGTCAGTACTATGCAATGACAGATAACGTCATCGATATAGGACATAAATCATCTATATTATTTTTAACTATATCAGCTCTTCCTAACATGTCTTTTTAATCTGACTGAGATAGTTCCTATCTTCTAGCTAAGCATATAGAATGAGAATAGAGATTTTGTTCATTCGTTGACAACATTTTTCATGAAACATTTGTAAAAGAGGCATGAGGTAATAGTTGCTTTGGAAATAAGTCAAAGTTTCAAGAAAGTATATTACCCTTTAGTGTCTAAATGATACAAAGGTAGAAGCACAATTTTAAGAGACTGTATTAAAATACACGAGGGACATGTAGATTCCACATTTTAAATGTGCAGGATAGATGATCTTCCATAGGACTAAACTCTGTTAACAGAGTGACATTGCCATATACTTGGGTCAAGTTGACCTTCCTGGCCATTTGCAACACACCAAAGAGAAATGTACACAAAGCCCATGTTGTAAAACTAATGTACTTTACTCTAGAAGAGAGAACTTTTAGTGCTGGAATCAAATTTAATCAAGCAGTTTTATCTATAATCCTTACAAAATTAGTTTTAGATTTCTTATGCATACAAGAGTACTTCAAAATTTAGTCGAAAAGAAAATTAAAAGGTTAGCTTATTTTGGTGCAAAAAATGAAATGTGTGCATATAAGAGGCCTTCATAAATACATGGAAAATAGTTATTATGAAAAAACTATGCATGGATTTCCAAGTTTTTACAGCAAAACAAACCTATCTTTTAATCAGTTTTCCACAGACTTTTTGAGAGATCCTCATATCTTAAGCAACATATTATAAGGAGACGGCTGTAGAGGCAAACTGCAAAGTGCCAAAAAAAAAAAAAGTGACAGAAAGGAAAGAGACAGGATAATGATTACATTGCATTTTAAGTTGATGACCTATCTTCATATTCCAGTCCCTAAAGTAATAAAAGAAAAGGTTAAATTCTACCACTTTTGAGGCTTCATCTCTATCTTTTATCTCACTTTGAGCATTCTGTTTTCTTAATTTTTTTTTTCCTTTTTGTTTATTTGCTACTCTGTCTTCCATTCTTTTCTTTCATTTTCTTCCCTGGATATATGCCATATATCAGATGAGAGCATTTATAGATATTTCTTGGCACTTAAATTTGGCCCTCAGGGATAGTGAGAATGCTGAGCTCTGATGTAAACTATTTCTAATAAAAAAAATCTATATTATGAGCCTGCAACACACTGTGGTGTTCTTTACAATATTATAGACAATTTTGCAGTTGTTTGTATTATATCTTTTATTGAAGATGCCTTTAACTATTACTTTTTCTTTTTCCTTTTCTTCTCCTAAATTCTTCAAGCTGCTTTTCAGTCAATTTGGTTTGCCATCCTCTAGATTCCTGGAAACCATTCTAAATTAGAAAATCTCCTTCATTTTTCATCCTTGTCTTATGCTTCTGGAATCAATAATCCTAGTCTACTTTAGCCTCTTTTTTCCCTACTGTTTCTGAGGATACCATATTAAATATTTTGTTATAATGTATCCCACAGATGAAGACTGAACTTTTATAGTCTAAGTTAAGGTATAGATTCTGCAGTAAACATTTACATCTCATTCAGAGGATCTGTGCAAGAAGTTAAACTAAATTCTAGCAGGAAACATATTTTTCTTAGTCAATGCAGTAGGACTTTCTTATGTCATGAGTGAGCTTCCTAATCAACTGCTGATAGGTTTTAGATTTCTTAGATGTCGCTTATAATGCTGTTCTTCTTCCTGCTTGGTGGCAGGCCCAGACACTACATATGTTATCGCTTGAGAGGTTCAGGGCGTACCAATAGAACTTTATTTTTAATATTCATGGTAAACATTCAGCCAAACCTACTGTAGATTTATAATAGCACTGCAGAGTCTCATTCCAACATAAATAGCAGCAAAAGCTTATTTCCCAGTATTCCTGGAGTAGACTTCAGTGTAAAGTTTGCTGGGCTGGAATGAAAATCTGTTATCCATTGTGGCTTTTGTATTGGCTTTCCAAGTTAAAGCAATAACTTATTGAGCTTTCTGTTGCTGATGAATTATTTTGACATATGCTGAATTTTGCAGTGGATTTTGGAGTGAGTGCCCAGGTAAGCAGAACTAATGGAAGGAGAAATAGCTTCATTGGGACACCATACTGGATGGCACCTGAGGTGATTAACTGTGACGAGGACCCGAGACGCTCCTATGATTACCGAGTGAGTGTGAGAATTCATAGAGTGGGGACAACATTTTGGAAGGGATTTTGATTATCATTGATTTTGAGTAATAAAAATAATAAAATGCATGGATCCACCTTCCACATTAAACTCAAATATGAAATACTATCCTGTATTCTTATATGTGGTTAGATTGTGTGCATAAAAATAATACATTCTAAGAATGTAGACAAAGTAGACCATTGGGAGTTACTGGGATTTGAGGTAGAATATCTAGTTCTTGTTCCTGGTAACTCCATGGTTAAACTATTATGTTACGTGGCTTTATATTGAAATTTAGCTTTCAGGGTCAGAGGGCTTTGTAAATTTAAAAATGAACAAATGTAAAGCCAATTATTAATCCCTGCAGTAACTTAGCTCCAAAGAGAAAAATAATAATAATTTGATTACTTGGGGAAATGTAGACAATCCTTGGCATGGTTCACCTCCAAACCACAGAAAACCAGTGGGATAGACAAATTAAGTAACAATTCGTGCTATTTATTAAAATTTCCACTGAAACAGCAATTTGGACAATATACATCTATGTACACATTTCAAAAAGCTGATGTGGGAAGAAAACTCTCCATTTACTATAGACTGGAAAAACCTCACTCAGTCTCCACATCATAAGTCATCCAAACAATTCATTGTGGTCTCCCAGTGTGGAACTTAAGACTTAATACTTGAAGTTGATTAATTTAAGTCTCATCTCTTCCTTAAATGCCCTCTGCTTGATCTGCAAAATAATCATTCACTGGGCGCCTGTTATATGTTCAGTGCTATATCAGATATATCAGAAACTATGGAGACTATGCAAGTGTGAGTTCTTCAAGTGGCTTATTGTAAAAACAATACTTTACAACCATATAAAGCATATAGCAGTCTTCCATGGGCTTTCACTTGTATTCCATTTTTTAAATTTTTTTGTCCTGTGAGGCTGAAAGAAAATTTCACAACAACTGAAGCTAACAGAACTATAACCCTACTTTCTAAAATGCAATCAATTTGTTTAGAAGTCATTCAGTCATACAGTGTGTCTCTAGTCCTGTGCCCCTTCCACAGAGTATACTTAATTGATGTTATGTATTTTTTAAAGATTTATTTATTTATTTGAAAGTCAGAGTTACACAGAGAAGGAGAGGCGGGGTGGGGGGAGTCTTCCATCTGCTGGTTCACTCTCCAATTGGCCACAACAGCTGAAACTGCACCATTCTGAAGCCAGGAGCTGGGAGCTTCTTTGGGTCTCCCATGCAGGTCCAGAGTCCCAAGGACTTCTTCCACTGCTTTCCCAGGCCATAGCAGAGAGCTGGATCGGAAGTGGAGCCAGGTTTCGAACCGGCGCCTTTAAGGGATGCTGACACTGCAGGTGGCAGCTTTACTCACTACATCACAGCGCTATCCTCTGATGTTATGTATTTACATGTAAATATGTGCATATATGATACACATATACATGTATATACACAGAGGAGTCCATTGAGGTGGATACTATTATTATCACCATTTTATAGAATGACATTAAAATACACCAAGTTAAATCTTTTGCCCGAGATCACATAGCTTGTGTGTCTATGTAGTTGGACTTTCTTACGGCAATTTTGGCATTTCACTTAAGCAACACTCTCAGTGTATTCAAGATGAACTTTGTCTAAACTGGACTCCACCTCAACCTGCTGTAGAGTAAGAAATATTGGCTGGTTAAAAGCTCAGATGTCTCCCTATAACTTCATTATAGGACACTCAGAAGGGGCCAGTATTGTGGTGCAGTGAGTTGGTCTGCAGTTTGTGACACATCCCATATGGGTGCTGGTTCGTGTCCCAACCACTCCATTTCCAATCCAATTCCCTGCTAATGTACCTGGGAAAGCAGCAGAGGATGGCTCCAGTGCTTGGCACCCTGCAACCATGTGGGAGGCTCAGATGGAATCTAGGCTCCTAGCTTCAGCCTGGTTCATGGCGGCCATTTGGGGAGTGAATCAGTGGTTGAAAGATCGCTCTCCCTCTCTCTGCCTCTGTCACTGCAACTCTGACTCTGCAACTCTGATTTTCAAAATAAAATAAATAAAAAATCTTTTTAAAAAGAATATCCAAAAATTGCCACTGACATTGGCACCCTCATCCCCAGCCAAAGATTGTTTTGAGGTTCTAAATACCACCGGTTTCCAATTTTTGAGTGACTTTTTTTTTTGTCCTCCTTTCCTTTGCAGAGTGATGTGTGGTCTGTGGGAATCACTGCAATTGAAATGGCTGAAGGGGCTCCTCGTGAGTAAAAATACGTAATATTTTCTAAAGTTTAAGGATGTACGCTATACAAATATGTTTTTCTGGAAGAATTTGAGATCACTACTTGTACCAGTCAGTTTCTTCTGGTCACACAGGCGTCCCACTATGTGTCAAGCTATGAGTGATGGCCTTTTCAGTGATGACCAAATGAATTTGTTAGTGTGGACAGATTGGGGTATATAAAACAGCCTATGCTTTTCTTTTTATACTCTCTTATTTTAGGCTGACTGTTGTTTCAATTTAGTCTCAGTAGTGTTTGGTCCTGACAGTCCTGAGCAACTGAAGTCCAAAGACATTATAGTCTCAATTGACTAGTGGAATATATATGTTCCAGAACATTTACAGTCACACATTGCTGCTGCTTCAGGCTGTGATCGTTGAGAAAATACTCCAGTAGTTCACTGAAGTAGAGCCGGACACAGCAATGTTGGGAGCTAAGTTGGGTTTCCTCAGGAGTCAATCCAGTTCCCCTTTGATATCTTTGCTCCTTTCAGTCACCCCAGTGCCCTTCACAATTTCCTCTGGTGTCTCCCACTCATTATGATTTAAATGGCCTGTCAGCATCCTATTCTCTCAAGACATTGATAGGGAAGTGAGAATGGAATATGAACTTGGGCATAACTGATAACTGCCTAATGTCGGACTCCACAGCATGGCATATTTATTGTCCTCAACATCTAAATCCAATGTATCTATGATAATACATTCACAGTAGTATTGCATAAGTGAAAGAAATAACTTGGAGTATGTGTTTTGGGGGGTGGGAGCGAGATTGCTTTGTTCCCTCCCAAACAGATTGCATATGTTCCCTTGTTCCTGTATGCTCCACCTTCACAATGTTCATCCACCAAGCTTTATAAGCTTGAACTATCTTAGCACTGGATTTCAAAGCTAAAGGGAGGAATTTTAAGGAGTACAAATAGTGGTGACTTAATTGTTGAGAATTTCTCATGTTCTGTGGGTATCAAAGCAAAGTTTGATAAAGCTAAGGTGGTTGTGGAGATCTGATTGGTGCTGGCTCTTTTCTAGTGCTCCTAAACTACAGGTACCCAAGTTGAGTGAATATAAATTGAATGATTAAAAAGATTCAAATGTAAAGCTTTACATATGCCACATATATAAAGTGGAAATGATACAGAATATAGTCTCCTGACTATATGTGTTTGGGAAACATTTAAATTATGTTAGACTATGCAGAAGCTTCTCCCCACCTCCTCCTCTTCCTTCTTTCTGAATTTTACTCTTTCTTCCTCTTTCTCTCTCTCTCCCCCCCTTTCTCTTTCTTCCCACACTCCTTTTCTCCTTGAATTCACAATATGGTAGCTCATATTAGTATTGATGTACAAATTTAGTTAGGATGCATTACTGAATCAAGTACTATCTTTTTTCCCATTGTTTTTGAGTGTGCCTCACCAAAAAAAAATCACCTTTCTGTGCTTTTTTAGGTTTGTGCTTCTTGGTTCACCTTTTTTTGTTGCTTTACTGTGTGTATTACAAGAAAAAATAGGATGATGAACAAACTCGCAGAGTAGTGCAGGGGAGTCTTGCACAGGGTTTGTAAAAAGCAAGCTGCTTGGAAAAGAAAAGTGAGCACCAGGATTTTCTGAACTCACAAGGAGAGAAAATAGGGCCCCCCTGTCTGGAGAACTAATTGGAATGGCACAAGTTTGGGCTTGAGAAATGTAGATAGCTACCCTACTAAAACATTTCTCTTTCAGCAGCTTCCATTATTTCCTGGAGTATGAACTTTACATGGAAATGAGTGGCATGAAATAAACTGCAGAAATTCTCCAAGTTATGATAATTCTCATCTCAGAGGGGATGGTTTCCCAAAGTGGCAGTTATCCGATAGTGACCTCCGAAATTCAGATAGTAAAATTCTCTTCCTTTGATCTTTCTTTGGTAAATCTCTCATGGAATTTTTTATTTTTAAGATTTATTTATTTATTTGAAAAGCAGAGTTATAGAGAGGCAGAGGCAGAGAGAGAGATCTTCCATTTGCTGTTTCACTCCCCAGATGGCCTCAATGGCTGGAGCTGCACTGATCTGAAGCCAGGATCCAGGATCTTCTTCCAGGTCTCCCATGTGGGTGCAGGGGCCCAAGGACTTGGGCCACCTTCCACTGCTTTCCCAGGCCACGGCAGAGAGCTGGATCGAAAGTGGAGCAGCCGGGACTAGAACGGGTGCCCATGTGGGATGCCAGCACTGCAGGCAGTGGCTTCGCTTGCTATACCACAGCACCAGCCCCTTTCTTTCACAATTTCAATGTGGAATTCAAACCAAAAGATCTTTAAACCAAGACCAGAATACTAGTAGTCAATAAAACAACAGAATCTCATAGGCTGGTTACTGTTGAATAAATGAGATTCCTAACATCTCTGTTTTTTTTTTTTTTAAGGTTTATTTATTTGAGAGGTAGAGTTACAGACAGTGAGAGGGAGAGACAGAGAAAGGTCTTCCATCTGCTGGTTCACTCCCCAAATGGCCACAATGGCCAGAGCTAAGCTTATCCAAAGCCAGGAGCCAGGAGCTCCTTCCGGGTCTCCCACGTGGGTACAGGGGCCCAAGTGCTTGGGCCATCTTCTACTGCTTTCACAGGCCATAGCAGAGAGCTGGAATGGAAGAGGAGCAGCCAGGATTAGAACAAGCGCTTGTATGGGATTCTGACACCACAGGCAGAGACTTAGCTTACTATGCCATAGTGCTGTCCCTAACTTCTCTATTCTTAATACCTAAGTGAAACTTTGCTTGGAAGAGAAGCAGGATAAGGTCAACAATTTTCTCTGACTTCCCCTTCCTTGCAGTCTGCACAAGCCAACTTAGTCTGTACTCTATCTTTCCCCATTTTGACATACTCCCTGATATTGGATAAATTATTTTTAATATTGTCAGTGATCCTCACTTAATAGTTCCGCTTCCATTCCTTGCAGCATCCCTCTCTCACACACCATGCCAATCTTTATCTTGGTGCTTTATGATTCAAATTCACCTTTGTCCCATCAAGAGGCCTATTTCTTCAGTATTCAGAAGATTCCTTCAGATCTCAACATGTATTGGGAATAAACCACATTAGTTCATCAGGTTCTGCCTAAGCCTAGCTTAATATGTGCCCAGCCTCTTAAGGGATATGTATTTTAAAGGTTTTCTATTTTGATATATTGGGCCTGTAATAGTTAACATTTAGACAGTGTTATGAGATATGGGCTGGAGAGGACACTTACCAACATTCCTAAAATTGGACTAGTTATGAAACCATCCACAGCTGCTGTTGACATAGATCTTGTATCCACCCTGTGTTCCATTCCTTTATGGAATGTTCTTATTCCTTAATGAAACTTACCTAATTGACCTCTAAAGTTGTCAATAAAGTGAATGACAAGTGTTTTTTTTTATTTTTTTTATTTTATCTTTTATTTAATGAATATAAATTTCCAAAGTACGACTCATGGGTTACAATGGCTTTCCCCCCCATACCGTCCCTCCCACCCACAACCCTCCCCTTTCCCACTCCCTCTCCCCTTCCATTCACATCAAGATTCATTTTCGATTCTCTTTATATACACTGTTTCATATTGTACAATCTCACAATATGTTTAAAGGACACAAATTGGTAAATTACTAGGCATAGTAAAGGAATAAAAAAAATCCAATGTGATCCTTATTGTTTGAGCTTATAGCTAATTCTGCCCTCAGTTATAAGCCCTCACCTTGTATTAATTCATATTGTGTGTAATTGAGAACAAAGCTTGACCTTTGAACAGTTGCCTTTTTATCACCCCAATAAAATCATCCTGGAGATTCTTTTATCTTTTTGTTTGTAGGGCAGTTTGGAATTGTAGGTCTCCTGATGATGTATTGTGGGGAAAGGATGTCTCTATGAAGAGTCATTAATATCAAACTGTGTTCCCATAAAAGTCACACTTGTAGTGTTTAACAAAGTTCATGCTGTGGATCTCGATTGGAGATTTTTGGCACTGCCAATTTTCTTTCATCAAAACATAACAGGAAATAAGTGACATGAGGCACATAATTGTTAATTATTTTAATATACTGTTATTGACACATAGTAATTGTACATGTTTGTGGGGTACAGTATGGCATTTCAATATATGTAATCAATATGTAATAATCATTCAGAACAGGGTAACTAGCCTATTTATCACCTCAGATGTGTATAATTTCTTTGTATTTGGAGCATTCAAATTCTTGCTTGTTCTTTTGAAATATTCCATTAATTGCTCTCAACCATGGTTATCCTACTGTGCTATAGAAGAGCCAACTGCACTCCTGTGTCCATTAGCCACCCTCTCTCCCTCATACCCTTCCAAGGCTCTGGTAACCACTGTTCTGTTCCCTACTTCTTTAAGATCAACTTTAGATTATACTTACCAGAGTATTACAAAAGTTCATGGAAAAATGGAATTAAAAATGAGTTTACTTTGGTGCAAAAAATCTTTGAAATGTATACATCATTTTTTCATAATATGCATTTTCATGAACTTATTGAAGACCCCATGTATTCCTGGGTTTCAAAGGGTTTTGCACCAAAATAAACCTATCTTGTAATTCCATTTGTCCACAAACATATTGATGTACCCTAGAATAAGTGAGATATGTGGCATTTGTCTTTCTGTGATGTAGCCCTCCAGTACAATGCATGTAACTATCTTCTTCTTTTTTGAGATTTTTCTATTTGAAAGGCTGAATGACAGAGAAAGGGAGAGACCATAGAGAGAAGAGAGAGTGATCTTCCATATGCAGTTCATTCCCCCAAATGGTCACAATGGCCAGGGTTGTACCACTATGAAGTCAGGAGCCTGAAACTCCATCCAGGTCTCCCACATGGGTACAGTGGCCCAAGTACTTGGACCATTTTCTTTCTTTCTTTTTTTGTAAAGATTCATTTACTTTATTTGAAAGTCAGAGTTACAGAGAGAGGCAAAGGGAGAGAGAGAGAAGTCTTCCATCTGCTAGTTCACTCCCCAAATGGCCACAATGTCCAGGGCTTGCGCCAGGCTAAAGCCAGAAGCCAGGATTTCTTCTGGGTCTCCCATATGGGTTCAGGGGCCAAAGCACTTGGGCCATCTTCTGCTTACCAGGCACATTTGCAGGGAGCTGTATTGGATTTGGAGCAGCCAAGATTTGAACTGGCACCCATATGGAATGCCAGTGCTTGCAGGCTGTGGCTTTACCTACTAGCCCAGGACCATTTTCCACTGCTTTCCCAAGTACATCGAAAGCAGAGCAGGCAGTACTCAACCTGATGTTCTGATATGGGATGCTGGCATTGCAGGTAGTGGCATAACATGCTGTGCCACAGCACCAGCCTCAGGATCTCATTCTTTTTTATGGGTGAATACTGTTTCACTATATATATAAAGCACTTTTTCTTTATCAAGTCATCCACAGTGGACACCTACATTGATTCCATGCCTTGGCTTTTATGCATTAAACATATAGGTATGGATGTTAAGATACATATTTTAGTAACTAATATGCAGAGTACAAAAAAAACTAATGCATATGAGCAAAATTGACATTTTGAGATTTGATCATTGTTTATATCCCTGTCTATACTCCTGAGGAATAGTGGTTTCTCTACTTAATACTTGTTGAATTCTTTATTTAGTGAATGCTTAAGCTTATGATTATAAAGTAAATTGAAAGTATGTCATTGTAACAATTAAAAGAAAAATAAGAAAGGAGTTGGAGGGAAGGTGAGAGTGAGGGAGGGAGGGAAAATAGGATGGGAAGTATCAGTATGCTCTTAAAACTTGTATATATGAAATATATGAAATTTGTTCCTTTTATATTAATTATAAAAATTAAGGAAAAAAACTTAGAGAAAAACCTAGAGTTCTCAAACCAGTGAGACAGTTCAAATAGCAATATTAGAATAACTTCTTTGAATGCTTGTGTTTATGAAAAACATAGTGAATGCCCAGTAATTTGTCACAGATTTGAACAGTAAATATTTTAAGCACCTACTACATGTCAGACACTTTGACTTGTAGTTTACTGATTCTCACAGCAAGTTTTGGAAGGTGTTCTTGCTGTATTTCCTGTTTTTCAGAAGTAGAAACTGGGACACATAAAGGTTAAGTAAGTTGCTAAAGATCACAAAGGCAAAGCCAGTATTTGTATCCAAATGATATTATTCTAGAAGGCATGTTCTTCACAGTTTGTTATACTCAAACTGCCTCTTTTTCTAGGACTCTCAGCTCCCAAAATATATTCTTCTCAGCTTTCTAGACTACTCAACCAAGCTTCTTTATGTATTATTGTGTTTAGCTACTAATTTGATTGACTGAATTCTATAATTACATATTCTTGTCTATACTTGTACAGAAACACCAATCAGTGTTTGTCTCCAGTTTTTGTTAACTTTTCCAGATAAAATCATCAACCACAATTTCAAAAACAATGTAGTCTAATTTATTATTGATTTGTTACACACAGTGTTGATGAAACTTTAGAATCATATAAGACAATGTTTGTGTATAAAATGAGCCTTTCCTTTAAGTACATTATTTTGTACCTATCCTCCCCTAATGTGTGTAAAATAGGATATGTAAAAGAACACTGAGAATCCCCTCTGGATCATGGAGAGTGCTCTGCAGATACCCTTCTCATTCTTTCTAAAATTCTCTATTTCCCTTCACAGCTCTGTGTAACCTTCAGCCCTTGGAAGCTCTTTTTGTCATTTTGCGGGAATCTGCACCTACAGTCAAATCCAGTGGATGGTAAAGATGAATGTCTTGATCTCCTAAATACACTGACTTGACATTTTGTGTAGCAAAGAGGTTTTAATTCATTTTATCAGTTTTGCTTCACCATCTTTATTGGACAGTGTTTCCTAAAATCCAGCATTTTAACAGGGAAATCTAACTGACCAATTTTCATTAAGAACTAGTTAGCTAGCTACAAGTAAGTAAGATCATTCATAGTCAATTAGGACAATATTACTGTCCTGCCACTAAAAGGCAGATTCAGTTTTTTCCCCAGTAACATTGTGAATTGCCCATCATTTGTGCAGTGTCTTACTGTGCCTCGATAGTCAGTTAGTGGTTGTAATATATAGTTCTGTTGGGTGGTCCATTCACATAGACATGCACAGAGATAGGGCAGAGAACTTGTTTTCCCATGGTGCTATGGGTCAAGTAAATGTGGGGATCCTTCTCTCTGAAGATTTCTGATCTAGTACTTTAAACTGGTAACCATGATTTGATTACTGACATTTTCCCTTGTGATTCAGTTTAACCCATTGCACACATTTCAGCCTTTTTGCTCACAACTGTATTCGTGGGACGATTTTAAAAGATTACTTAGTCCTGGTACAGCCAGGCGTCTGAAGCTAACACTGTGTATAATCAAGGGAAACATTCAGGCTTGACAGTTATGAGCATTATGGACTGACAAATCTTGCCTCATTGGCTGTGTGTATGTGTGTGTGTGTATTATATCTCACATCAAGCATTTCATTGCCATATATATCATCACTTGCATTTTTACCAGGTACATAGAGCTGTACAGCTGAACTCATTGAAGTTTCTACTATTATTTGGGTAGAAAATTATATTGACTGTGGTTTCTTTTTGCTCTGTAATGTGTATTGTCAAGCCGTAGGATATTTGCTCATTGAAATGACAATTAGAAATAGAGGCAACTCTCCCCAGAAATAAGACCTTCACAGTGCCATGTGGTTGGGGACGGGAAGAGGTCGCAGGCCAGCGAATGTCTTCATTCCTTCAACTCCTTTCTTTTAGGTCCCGCAAGTTCCACAATTTCATGGGAAAATGCATGATAAAAAACTTCCTATTCCGTCCTACTTCTGCAAACATGCTTCATCACCCATTTGTTCACAATATCAAAAATGAGCGACATGTTGTTGAGTCATTGACGAAGCATCTTACAGCAATCATCAAAAAAAGACAGAAAAAAGGTAGACTCTGTCAAGTCGTATTTTACTAGAATGATAGATGATTTACTCACTGTATTCAGAAAAAGAGTATTTGTTTATGAATTATGTGGAAGGTAAAAATACTGAGGCCTTCTGTATTTAGTTTTTCTGATAATATGCCATGTGTTTTTGCTCATTTAATTCCTTCTTGCCTCAGTATGTGTAGATACAAGGTTATTCACTGTTGCCAGTTTTGTATGGCAAGTGCTTATATCTACAAAGTCCTGGAAAGCCTCAAATAGAATTTTGTGATTTGGTGATTTTAAGCTAGCTACTAATTAAACAATATAAATAAACGGAAAAAAACCCTATATTTTATGGTTGTTTTTCGGCTTATTTTTTAACTGACTCCACTAAGATAAGTGGGTTTGTAATTAACCACTTATGGACTGTTAATGTTAAAGTAATGTTTCTGCATGATATAAAGCTCATTTTATGTACTATACTAACTTCAACTATAAGATTTAATTAAAGGGACTAATATAAACAAATGAATGCAAGTTTCTATTTATATCCAATATAATGGGATGGATTTTCATCAAATCCAGGCAAGTGTTAACTATGTAGGCTCTGTGGCATATTCCACATTTAGTTTGGGGGATCACAGCAAGGTTGAGGGTAAAAATGGAGTGAAGGAGAGGGAGCTGAACAAGATCACAAACATCCTTCCATCAGCTGCCATCTGGGTAACTGGATGTGTCCTGTTTAGAGGTGAGGAATAGTAGGATGATTTGATTACATCTGGGGATGAAGTTACCAGATGTACATCACAGAACCCAGCCAGTTCTCAAATGGATGAAGGAAAACCACACATCTACTAATTTGCTAACTCCCAGAGGCACGAGTTTTCCAGAATGGTATCTGCAGGAAAACTCTCATCTACATGGCGCTTACACTGACGATGTCAATATAGTTGCCCTAGACATTCTACTATAAGAAATTTGAAAGAAAACTTTCTGTTTTTAAAGCTTTTATATGTCAATAATAATGGCAAAGGTGAAAGGAAAGAAGCTGGATGTTTTAAATGTGTTAAGTGTGAAACCCAGAACTGAGATTTTTACCTTCTCATTAAAAAGACTAAAGATCAGTCCCAAGCCATGCAGTCCTCATATTTAGATCCCTTAGCTGTAAGTCAGGCACATTAGCTGTTCAGAGTTTCTCTTGTCTTATTATCTATTCTAATTTAGAATTACAAGCAGTTTGGTAAAGTTTCTTTCTTTGCCCAGAAAATTTAATCTGCAGGCAATGCAAAAGTGGGCCTAGCAGCTAGACTTTTGTCCACAGCAATAATCAATTATGTGTTTGGAGAGGTATTTTTCCCCCTAGGGAATTAAATCTACATCTTGAACATTAATAAGGGCCAAAGTCACTAAGATTGATTGCATGCATCTCTGCTGACTTTATGTGTACTATAGTTTTTGTGTTTTTTTTTTCTTTTTCATATGTAGGGATACCTCTGATCTTTGAAAGAGAAGAAGCTATTAAGGAACATTACACTATAAAAAGATTCAGGTATGTTAGATAAATGGTGTATATAACTGGATAATAGCAATTCACTTGGGGCAGTTGATTCCATACTGTTGCCTTTGACTCAGAAATATTTAATACTTTTGGATATACCAAATAACAGATCTTTTTTCAAGAAATATTGAATGGAAAAGTTGAGAACAAATTTTTATTACTACTACTTAATGCCTGGCAACAGAATGATCCAGGTAGATTATCAGACTCCATTAATAAGAGAACACATTAATAATAAAAAGTTTTTTATTAAAAATAAAAAGGGATATTTCAAGCACTACAGGGATGAATACAAAATTATTGAAAATATCATTGTTACAGAGACTATCCATTTAAAAAAAGAGAATTTCCCAGAATGGCTCCATTGCACTGGACATTCTAATTGTATGATCATCACTTGTTTGTTTCAGGGGACCCTCCTGCACTCATGAGCTTCTGAGATTGCCAACCAGCAGCCGATGCAGGCCACTTAGAGTCCTGCATGGAGAACCCTCTCAGCCGAGATGGTTACCTGATCAAGAAGACTCACAGGTCCAGGCACTTCAGCAACTCCAGGGGGCAGCCAAGATGCACATGCCACTACAGGCTCAGGAGAACGCACCTAGGCCTCTACAGAGGCAAGCGCAGGCACCTCAACGACTACAAGGGGCAGCTCAGGTGTTCATGCCACTACAGGCTCAGGGTAAGGTGAAGGCACCTAGGCCTCTACAGATGCATATCAGGGCGCCTCCCCGACTACGGCGGGCAGCTCGGGTGCTCATGCCACTACAGGCTCAGGGTAAGGTACCCAGGCCTCTATTAATACAGGCCAGAGTACCCAAAAGAGAGCAGCAGATTCAAGGCCAGGCCCAAATATCAGAACAGCCACAAGATCTGGACCAGGTGCCAGAGGAATTTCAGGGGCAAGAACAGGTGCCTGAACCACAGCAACGGCAGGGCCAGGCCCCTGAACAACAGCAGATACAGAACCAGGTACCTGAAGAGCAGCTGGAGCAGAATGAGGCACCAGAAGAGGCAGAGGTACAAGAACAGGCTGTGGAGCCCACACAGGCAGAGCCTGACGCAGAGGAACCTGAGACAATACGCGTGCATGCCCAGGTGTTTCTGCCCCTGCTTTCACAAAACCACCATGTGCTGCTGCCCCTGCATCTGGACACTCAGGTGCTCATTCCAGTGCAGAAGCAAACAGAGGGGGTACCTCAGGCACAGGCCTGGGCACTAGAGCCCCCGCAGGCAGTTGGCTCCATCCAGGCACTGATAGAGGGGTTATCCAGAGACTTGCTTCGAGCACCACACTCATACAACTCCAAGCCACTTGGTCCACTGCAAACCCTGATGGAAAACCTGTCGGCAAACATATTTTACTCTCAACCAGAACAGGCACGGAAGAAAAAATCTAAAGTTTCCAGTCTAAGACAGGCCCTAGCCAAACGACTGTCACCAAAGAGGTTCAGGGCGAAGTCATCAAGGAAAGCTGAGGAGCTGGAACTCTCAGATGGGGAAACCCGCAGGCGAAGGCGTCAGCGCCGATGGGAAGAGATCTTCAATCAGCATGAGGAAGAACTGAGACAAGTTGAAAATGTAAGAATAATCGATATTGAGTCCAAACTGCAGAGAAAATGTGCTAGTTCATGTCCATGTTGCCTCTGTGTATGAGTGAAATTGACATCTTGAGATGTGATTATCGTTCACAGCCCTTGCCCATACTCCTGCAGAACAGTGGTCTTTCTGCTTTCTACTTGTTGAGTTCCTTATTTAGTGGAGGATGGGAAGTATTCTTATGTTCTTAGAATTGTATATATGAAATACATGAAATCTGTTCTGTTTGTATAAATAAATACATAAAACAAGAAAGAAAGAAAAAAAAAACCAAACGAAAGAAATATTTCTTGTGGCCAGAGATTTAGTAAAAAAAAAAATTCCAGAAACTTGTGACTAAGAAAAATTTTTTTTACATGATGCAAGTAGTCAATATTATCTCTATAGTTAGTGTAGTAGCTTTATTATTATTTTTCTACCTATTATTTCTTTTTTTAAGATTTATTTATTTATTTGAAAGAGTTACACAGAGAGAGAAGGAGCGGCACAGAGAGAGAGAGAGAGAGAGGTCTTCCGTCCGATGGTTCACTCCCCAGATGGCTGCAACAGCTGGAGCTGCATTGATCCGAAGCCAGGAGCCAGTACCTTTCTCTGGGTCTCCCATATGGGTGCAGGGGCCCAAGGACTTGGGCCATCTTCTACTTTTTTCCCAGGTCATAGCAGAGAGCTGGATCAGAAGTGGAGCAGAGCAGCCAGGTCTCAAACCAGCACCCATATGGGATGCCAGCGCCTCAGGCCAGGGCCTTAACCCGCTGTGCCACAGCGCCGGTCCCTATTATTTCTAATAAAAGGACATCATGCAGACATGGGATTATTTTGAATCTTTAAAAGTTGCTTTTATAATTTAAATTTTCAAAAACTCATTAAAAAGAAGCACAAAAACTTCCTCTAACCTCTAAACTAGTTTATTTGCTCCTTCTTTTCATAGACTACTGAATTATACTATTTGAGTGAATTGAACTCATTTTTGAAAATCAGATTTAAGTCAAGGTTAAAAAGAGAAGGAAAAATGTTTACAAAATTTTTTGTATATAATTACCATGTTCTGGACTTGTCTTAGCAAATTGACCTAATTTTACATAGGCAATGACACACTTGCACAGAACATGAAACTAGGTATAATATGGTCTCTGCATACTTTTGAAAGGTGAAGTAAAATATGTTAACCTCTATCTTATTTAGGAACACTCAATAACACTTTACTCTGTCAAAATCCTCCCGTATTAGTGGGTATAATTGATTGGAGTTGTCAAATTTAATCTGGCAACACTAATCTGATAATGAAGAGTTTGTGGGTTTGATCAGCAAATTAATAAGGTTGGACAAGATTAGGAGAGCTGTTATTTTCTAATGCTGTCCAGCATCCATTTATGTAAAAAGAATCCTTAGGATGATCCTAAATTAAACACTTATTCATGTCCATTCACTTAGCAATTATTGATGAAGTAGTTGCAAATGAACCTTGTCTGAATATCAAGATAAAGAATTATTTGGTTTTGTGCACAGTGAGCCAATTGAACAAATACTAATTCCCTGACATGTTTTAATATAAGAAGAGGTAAAAAGAGAAGGGGAGAAAAGCCCAAAAGGGGATGGATGTCTAGTTTCCTCCCAAAAGAGGGTGATACAAAGAGAAAGAAAACATATGGAGAGGGGAAGTATAAGTTTGGAATGGTGATAGTTGGCAGAATTTAGGACATTTAAAATGCTAATAACTATTCTCAGTGAGCCCTGGTAACCAATTAGATCTAATAGGTTTTTTGTTTGTGAAAAAGGCTTTTATTTTTCCCAAAATACTCATAATGCTAACAGCATGAAACTTACTCATTGCCATTCATTGTTTTAAACATATATGTGAGTAGTCATTCTAAAATAATATATATCAACAAATAATAGTGAATGGAGCACATGTGTTTGGTGCAACATCCTGTATCAGAGTGCCTGATTTCTAATCCTGGCTACAATTGCTTTGCATCACAGCTTACTGATAATGTACACCCTAGGGAGAAACAGGTGATGGCTCAAGTTGTTGGGTCTCTGCCACCCACATGGGAGACCCAGATTTAGTTCCTAACTCCTCACTTCAGCCTGGTGTACTCCTGACTGGGGAGTGAGCAAGCTGATGGGAACTCTCTCTGTTTCTCTCTGTGTGTCCCTCTTTCTTTCAAATAAACAAAATATATAATTAAAAATAAATTTAAAAATACTAATTGCAAATGATCCTAGGCTTTTGTATAGGTATTTAGGATCTTTAAGTGTGATCCTTAAAGAAAACATAAAGGAAAGCAAATTAGTGATTCTGTAATCAAGGTCATAGGTCTTTTGAAATATCTGAAATTTTACTAGAGTATAGAGACATATATGAGTGCTTCAACTCACCAGCAGAAAAAGATACACGCATTTGTATTATCCTCTTTGAGTTGAAGAATATTGATTGGCTTAAAGGGGGCAACAGTTTCCTGAACTCCTGAAGCTTAGTTAGGAAGAAATATCGTACCACTCTATTATTGATCTTCCACTGCTCAAGAGGACCTAAGTTTGGAGATATAATAACTTACTAAATGTGGGAGTTATTTTATGAGTTAATCAAGCTTTAGACTAGAGATTCTTTTTTTTTTTAATTTTATTTATTTGAGAGACAGAAAAGATAAGAGTGGAGAGAGAGCAAACGAATTGTTGAACTGTTGAATTACTCCCCAGAGCCCCACAATGGCCAGGAGGTGGCTGGGCAGAAGTTGAGAGCTGGAAATTCAATCTAGATCTCCCATGTGGGTAGCAAGAACTCAATTACTTGAGTAATCGCTTGCTGCTTCCCAGGGTGCATGTTAGCAGGAAGCTAGAATCAGGAGCCAGAGCCAGAAATTGAACCCAGGCATTTGGATGTGGGACATGAACATCATAATCTATGTCATTTTATTAAATATTTATTTATTTATTTGAAATGCCGAGTTACAGAGGGAGAGAGAAAGAGAGATCGTCCATCCACTGGTTCATTCCCCAAATGGCCACAACAGCCAGGACTGGACCAGGCTGAAGCCAGGAGCCAGGAAATTCTTCTAGGTCTCCCATGTGGGTGACAGGGGCTCAGATACTTGGGGCATCTCCTGCTGCTTTACCAGGCACATTCCTTGGGAGCAGGATTGGAAGTGGAACAACCAGGACTAGAAACAGTGCCCATATGTGATGCTGGCATCATAGACAGTGACTTAACCTGTGCCACAGTGCCAACCTCATAATTTGTGTCTTAACCAGTAGGCCAAGTGTCCAATCTATAGATCAGAGATTCTTAATTTGGATTCTGTAAATGAGCATTGGCATGTCAGCTGTATCCCTTAAGGGATATACAAATATGTGTGTCTATATGAAGTTTTCAGTGAACAGTTTGTAGAATTCCTCAGATTCTGACAGTGTTCCAGAACTAACTATTAGAAACTAGTGGTTTAAACAATTTTTAATATTTGGAAATTATTCTTTTAAGTTATATTTTAGGGTGTTGGAGTTCTTCCTATAATTTGATTTTTAGCAAATAAAATGTCTATTTTCTTTTTTTGTTTGTTTCAAAGGACAAAGAAGATGAATCATCAGACAATGATGAAGTATTTCATTCAATTCAGGCTGAAGTTCAAATAGAACCATTACAGCCAGATGATGCAGATCCTAAAGGAAATGAGGTAAATTTCTCAATATGGCTTTCTTTGACATTAATAAGTATCTAGAACCCTGTTTCTTAAGCTTTTGGGTCTCAGGATTTTCTTATACTCTTCAACATTGAGGACTCCAGAAAGCTTTTATTTATTTTATGGCTTGTGTCATCCAATATTTAGCTTATTAGAATCAAGATAAAAATTTAAAACTTTGATGAATTTAAAAAGTAGTAAAATTGTATGTTTTTAATGAAGACCAACTATATTTTCCAAAAAGTTTAGAATGACAGTGTTTTAGATTTTTTGCAGATCAGTTTAATCTATCTTGCTGAATGGAAACAGCCAGATTCTTGTCCTACTTCTACATTTGATCTGTTGTCATATGTTATTTTGTTGGCGGTATATGAGTCAAAGCTGGTTTCTTACATATAGGTGTTAATAAAGGGGAATTTGTATAGATTTTTCAGATAATTGTGGATATTCTTTGATAATAAATAAAATTGGAGACAAAGAATCTAAAATCACATTAATGAAATGTGGTAATGCTGGTAATATTAAAATTCATTACAATGTCCTATGATTTTTAAGTTCATGCATTGGTAAACTGGAAAATATGATTCTCTGTGCACATAGGTATTCTCAAGTGATTACACATTTCATTATTCAGTATCAAAAACAGCATTGTTAATATCACCATCAATTTCTTCAGAAATGTTCAGTGTTTATAAGCTGTAAAGTGCTTGGTAGCAGATAGGGACTTTAAAATTCTACTTTTATCTAAAAAACTTTAATTTTATTATTGCTAACAAATAGCACCAGTTTCTTTCCTTGAGTTGACAGGCTTACTTTACTCATTAAAAATAAAATGTCTAACAGACATCCATAGTATGAATAACCAGAGTTTGTCAATAATTTCTTAAGTACTGTCCAGGAGAAATGCAAGTAGTTTAGTTTGTGACACAATTTCACGTGTCTTTTTTCCTTGTATGTCTCTGTTCTGGGATTCAGTTTGTGATATAGGTGTGGGTCATTTCATCTGTAGTTGATTTTCTTATTTACAGGAATAGTTAAGTCAGTTGTAGTGTCCAAGTTGACTTACTTATCACATACATTGGTGAGGTCAGAAAGATAGGTTAAGTTTTTGTGCAGACAAGGTAGCAACAAACGGTCACATTTCTAATAGTCAACTGGCTAAAAATTCTCTTGGTCGCCAAGGGAGATTAGATAAGTATGTGAAGAAGTCAAATTCCTGCCTTATTGATGGTGGGTCAAGAATCACTTGCTCAACACTGGATGCTTCACAGGGGCCTACTATTAAGACTTTTATAGACAATTCTCCCTTTAAAATGTAGTCCCCTGGATGCTAACAGTCCTCCAAAGGGCATAATAAAGTGTATTGCTTTATCCATAGTGACCATTAGCAGAAGGGACATAAGGTGGGTTATATTATTTAATGAGAAGAAGAATTATGTCTTTCTCTCTGCCTTAGTAATTGACTTTGCTAATTCTCTCAGGTAATAATTATTACCATAAGCAGGGAATGGTTTACTAGTATCAGAAACTTTCCTGAGATCAGCTTCATAAACCAAGAGACCTAGATTGGGTCAGTATGAGGTCAGTTATCTGAACTAAAAGCAGAAAAAGTCATATAGATGCTTATCCTGAATACTGGCAAACACCTGGTTATGTTTGGAAACACTCATTTGTAAAATATAAAATACTAACATTTTAAATTTCTCACCTACCTATCTGATAGGACGTAAAGACAGTCTGGATCAGTTATCTCATTGAAAAAAAAAATAGTGTGCCGAGGCTAGGTAGTTTTTTAGAAACTTCAAAGTGATCTTATCAGCATGAAAATACAGATATTTTTTAAGAGTGTAACACATTGAAATTTCCCTCTTAAAGAATCTAATGTGACTGCTTTCTTGCATGTCAGAATGATTCTTTTTTTAAGCAGCTAAAGTCAGTTATAAGTACAAACTTTGTGATATCAGTTTGGCAAGACAATACTTCATGGCTCTGTCTACCAGTGTTGGCAGAAAGTAACTTTGCCCCATGATGGAAGCTGGTTCATTATAGTTCCTTTTTCTTGAGAGTTTTGGTGTATTATATGAGTGTATAATAGTAACATCCAAATTAATTTACGTGGAGTCATTTAGAATATTGATTAAGACAGTATAGATGAACTGTAACATGAAAAAAAACATACTTAAAGATGGACAGCTTTGACTCCTGAGAGATTCAATGATATCTATAATATGGAAAATCTAGGGTTAGTTTAAAATAGGGAGAACTTCGAACTTAAATTTTTAAATTGCAAGTGAGACATTAGGACTTGATATAAAAAGCGATGTCATAACATAGAGAGAACACTAAATTAGGAGTTTCAAGACCTGCATTCTGATTTTAAATGCTCCTTGGACTTGGTATAAAATTCTTAGAAAAGTCATTGTCCCACTCTAGGTGACAGATTCTTCAACAATAAAATGAGTAGCTTTGACTATATTCTCTCCAGAATCCACTCCTATACAAAAATTTAAAAAATATATCAGAAATTATGGATAGGCAGATCTAGCATTATACAGAAAATAATTATGAACATAGGATGTAGAGTGAGTCTTTGAAAAAGTTCACAGAAAGTGTGTATTATGAAAAAACTGCATGGATTTAAAAAACCTTTTGCACTAGAATAAGCTTATCACATTTCCAGGAATTTTTGAGGTACACACATATTTATGAAAGTCATATTTTATAAATTGGCTTATTAGGAAAATATATATGAAGAAAAGTATTTTCCCATAAGTTAATAACTCAGAAGTATTCATGATTGCAAATTCCACTAAAATATTGCATTGTGTCTTTAAGGTCCAAGAGGCTTCTGTGTCTGTGCCTTGCAACCAGGATCGTGCACACCGTGTCAAGTTCTCTTCAAGGTGTGTATCTCTGATTTCTATATTCAAATTACTCATGATTAATTATCACATGGAAAACTCAACTTTGTTTCCTTGATATTAGTTCTCTATAATGTCAGAACTAGAATATCAGCATTTGCATCATTGACCCACATTTAAAACCTTAACTGCAAAGATCCATTAACCAAATGTTTCACATTTGGACATAATCCACTCACTATGTCATGTAGTTTGAGAATTAGCTGGTGAGAGTCACAATTAAAATAAGAAAAGAAAGAAATGAGGGCCAGCATTGTAGTGCAGCAAGTTAAGCCACTGCCTGGAACACCGGCATCCCATATGAGCACGAGCTCAAGTCCTGGCTGCTCTGCTTCCAAGCCAGCTCCCTGCTAATGCACCTGGGAAGGCAGTGGATGATGGCTCAAGTGCTTGGGCCCCTGCACCCACATGGGAGACCCAGATGGAGTTACAGGCACCTGGCTTGGGACTGGCCATTGTGGCCATTTGGGGAATGAACCAGCAGATGGAAAATCTCTGTGTTCTGCCTATCCAGTAAATAAATAAATCTGCCTTTTTAAAAGAAGCAAATAAGTCTGTCTTTTTAAGAGAAATAATGACAATGACTTCTTTGACAGAGTTACATCATTAATTATAGTAGATAAAAAGACATGCACTTTCAAGTGGCTTTTCCTGTATGTGCTGCATAATAAAGCACAAATACATATTATCCCTGAACTCAGAAGTTAATGTAGCAGATGAGCAAGCCTAAAAATTACCTATGGTCAAAATCAACTTTCAGGCTCAATATTATAGCAATAAAATATAACATGTAATATCAATACCAACACTAGAGTTTTTGATCATTACTGTATTGATCATCTTCAGTTATCTTCAAAATTCATATTCCATATTTTAGATGAAGTGTGCAACGTGTTTTCTGGAGTCCAACTTTTAAAATAGATATCCTTCAAAAATCATCTCCTCTCCAACTCCAGCTCACAGTATAGAGGACTCAGATTAATCCATTCAGCCAGCCATCAATAAATATTTTTGAGTACTCACTATGTTCAAGATATTAGACCATGTGGTCCAGTGGCATCCAGTTGATATTATGCAGTATGTATATTCCTACCTCAGTAATTTTTTACAGCTCCATATATTTATGTCTTCAGATTTTACTGGTTTACAGAAGCCTTGAAAAAAGTGGAGAAGAAGACTGTGAACTTTCTTTTTCTCAGCACTCAATGAATGAGTTGTCATGGTCCTTCTGACCTCAAAGGGAAGAAAATAGTTTTAAGTAGTTGTCTTTGATATCTTGGAAGATAACTTTAATAAAATCTACTATATAAAAATTAATCCTAGTGTTAAACTAGGAATGATTAATTACTTTATAGAAGGGATTCAGAGTTCACGAATAGCAAATAGGTTGGTTTTAAATATGAATAAACTTTAAAAAATTAATTTAAATGAAGCTCGAGTCTTTCCTGAAATGTTGGGCCATAGAAAATACTTTTGTCTGCTCCAGGTCTAAGTCAATAGCCAAATTCCTTCCCATATAAAAATTCCACAGCAACTATAAAATGTAGTAGCATGATCCAGATCAATTTTCTAGATAGTCTTTAAATTTGAATAGTAAAACTATTGTACCCTTCATGTCCATTCATCTATCTATGTACCTCTGGAAGAGGACATAAAATATTAACCCCATGCATCTAAAATCAGGTTAATCATAGTAGAATGTGGCTTAACAATGGCACATTTGATCATGTTAAAATACTCGCATGCACTGTAATATTCTGGTTATTGCTGTACTATACAGGTAATAATATTATCTGAATATTAGCTTAGAGAAATTTTATAGGATTTTTTTAGAAATACAGTATGTGAAGAAAACATATATTACATGGAAACAGGTTTCTTATTCCTATATATTGGCTGTTGTTTCTATGTTCTAGATAAAATAGTAAGTTGGGGAAAATGGAAATTGGAAAATATCATTTAAGCTTAACTTCCTTTCAGATTGATATCTAGCTATATTTTAAGCAAAACTGTTTGTTGGTCTTTATGTTGCGTTGTACACTCCCCTTGTGAATGTGAGGGCATCGCACATGCTTTTCTGTCTTTTCATTAGTGTTCTTCAGCTGTCTCTTCTGGAAGAAGCTGAGAAGCCCATTGAGAACAGAGAAAGAAGTTCACAAAATCCTGAAAATTGCCCAGCAGCATCAGGTGATTCAGAGCATAAAGTTTCCACAGTCAAAATACAAAGCTAATGTTTATCAGCTTGTATTTCAGAAGTCAAGAAAGAAGGAAAAAAATCAGCAGTGTTAGGGAAGCCACACAGGATTAGAAGCAGAAGGTCCCTGGATTTGGCAGTTATGTGCTTGGGGTTGACCTTTGACAAATGGAAAACGATTTTTCTGGATTCTGCTTTTCTTTGGGTGGTAGTTAGGAATGTGTCTAGAGAGGCAAGGCAGTCAACTTTATTTGATTTCTGAACTAGGTGAGAAAAAAATGGGAAAACAGCTTGAACAAGGCCTCTCCAATAGTCACATTTATAAGCAACCTTTAGAATATTGGATGGAGTAATTGTGTTTTATATATTATTTCGTGATCTCAAAATATGATATATCCAGTAGTTACAAACTGATGACTTCACTCAGAACACATAAAAAAACAAATCAATCAAATCACATAGACTAACTTTACAAATTGTGATACGAATTGCAAACAACTATTTTTTTTAAATGTGTATTTGAGAGATTTAAATGAGTTACAGATTTGTAAAACATTAGAATAAACAAAACCAAAACTGTGCCTTAGATCACAAAACCTGGAATTAAGCTGTTTTAAACAAATTTGGTGAGTTATGTAAAGGAATAATGCCTGATTGAGTTCCTGAGCCATCTATAATAATGTAGAATACAGATTTTACTACGATGCCAGTTATATAAAAAGAATACATATGAACTTTTCAAAAAATTGAATATTGAAAGATCTTAAAAGTCTTATTCTTCCTAAGTAGCAGTAGTAGTAGTAGTAGTAGTAGTAGTAGTAGTAGTAGTAGTAAAGTGACTCCTGAGCAGAAATACTATATTGTGACAAATAAGAGTGAGTGAAGAATAACCTGAAGAATGTTTGTTTTTCCAGAAACTTATCTTTCTAGTTCAGTGAAGGCTAATTTTTCTAACAGTGGGATAACTTACTAGAACTTGAAGGAAATTTCATATAAGGTCCCAAGGCAGTCATGGATGTTAACTAGAGGGAGAAGGGAATAATATCTGTGCAGAAAATAGTGAACTTTTCAGCTCTAAAAGTCAATGATTTGATTATGGGTGCTATGTAGACCATTTGAGGTTCTCATGACATTACATGCTTCATTATGGAGCAAATCAGAGCACCTTGCTACAGATTTGCCTCAAAATCTCAGAGTACTAACCCAGACTTCTTATTTGATATGCTAGCACACCAAAAGCCTTGAAAGTAAATGGTTTTCTGCAGAAAAATAATAAGTGACAAAAGTATAACAGCACCAGGAGATTGGGACTCAAAGTGTAAGATATGTTCAGTGTAATGCTCTCAGATGACAGCAATGTTTTACAAATACCTCATTTTTGGAGTTGTTGTGTCTGCTCTCTGGTTATATAAACCAAGGCTGAAAATAAATGAGGAGTAGTAGTATTTATCATTACAGTCCAAGCACATAGAAACAATCAAAAGGGAACTCAGTGTTCCTTCAATAGCTTTTTCCAAGCACACTAATCTAGACCTACTGATTTTTGAATCTGTTAAATATTCTTGCTGTATTCTCACCACAGTTGCAATTTACCATACCACAACTCAGTATCAAAAGCTAGAATTGCAGATCAGATGAATGTGCATTGGAAATGAAAGTACCTGGACTGTGGAGCTGAGCTGTCCAGTATGATCACCAGTAGCAACGTGTGGCTATTAAAATGAGAACAAGGGAAGAAAATAAAATGCAGTTAAAAATCAATTTCTCAGGCACATTGACTATATTCCAAATGTTTAATAGTCATGAGTGATTAGTGACGACTGTAGGGACAGTGCAGATATAGAATGTGTTCATCACTGCGGAAAATTCTATTGTATAACAGTGGTATAGAAAGATCCCCAGCTTTATTTTAATAAAAAAGGGCAATTATGTTTTGTCTATTTTTAGTAATTCACTGTTCAACTGTGTTGAAATTACTTGAGGATATATCATTGGGCAGAAATTGGTGGTGCGGATTGCAGAGTCAACTCCCCTGTTAAGAGTTTTGTTAACCTATCATCTTCTAATATCGTCTATTGGGCTTTCTCTTCTAATTAGTACGTGAAGCCAGTGATACTCCCAGATAGTCCTATCCTTTGTACATTCGTTTTTTTTAAAAATGGATCTACCTGGCAGCCAGCATAATGTTTATCTTCTTGCACAAATAGAAGTATTTAGCAAGTGTACACTTAATTGTGCAAGCAGAAAAGCTATCTTTGTCTCCAGAGGGAACAAAACAGAAATTGGAATCCTGGCTCCATGGAAATTTACCAGGTGATACTTCCTAAAGGAAATTACAGAGACTGCAAGGAAAACAATGAATTAAACTGTTGTACCTACTAAAGAAGTAAAGGCAATGTCTGCAATCGCTGCTGTTATGAATGTGTTTCTGATATTCCACAGAATCTTCTTCTGAGGAAGAGAGTCCTGTGACTGGGAGGAGATCCCAGTCCTCGCCGCCTTATTCTACTATTGATCAAAAGTTGCTGATTGATGTCCATGTAGGTTTGCGTCTTAACATCTTTTTTTTTTTTAATTTTCAATTTGTTTTCATTTATACATGTTCAGTTGAGTGAGGAAAGGTTAAAGAGATTCACTTTCTCTTTTGTTAGTCTCTTGTAGATTCCCATTGTTGTGCTAGCTTGCAGTATATGAAGTCTAGAAATTAAATTTGAAATAAGAAAGCCCTTAATTGATAATTTTATTTTCCACCATTCTGTGCTAGTTAGAACATACTTGAGAGGGGCCGGCACCGTGGCTCACTTGGTCAATCCTCCGCCTGCAGCGCCAGCATCCCATATGGGTGCCAATTCTAGTCCTGGTTGCTCTTCTTCCAGGCCAGCTCTCTGCTGTGGCACGGGAGTGCAGTGGAGGATGGCCCAAGTGCTCGGCCCCTGCACCCGCATGGGAGACCAGGAGAAAGCACCTGGCTCCTGGCTTCGGATTGGCGTAGCACCGGCCGTGGTGGCCATTTGGGGAGTGAACCAACGGAAGGAAGACTCTCTCTCTCTCTCTCTCTCTCTTTCTCTCTCTCTCTCTCTCACTGTCTTTACCCGTCAAATAAAAAAAAAAAACATGCTTGAGAGAGAAATGCTAAAGAGCTATTTGTTGAAGGTAATCTTAAGAGAACAGTAGCATTTAGATACTTTTGTTTAATAGCATTTCTTAGGTGAAAAGGCAATACATAAAAATAAAACATTACTGAAAACTAAAATGTCCTCAGATTGTATAACCTTAAAGTGTCTTCCAACTTTTTTGTCAGTGTCTGACCATTCCAATTTTATTTTTGTAATTTTCCCTATCCTACCCTGCATACATATATTCCAGGTTGCCCAAAACTTGCTATATCACACATACCGCACTTAAAAAGTAGGTTTATATTAATTTGTTGTTTAAAAGTGTTTTAAGGTACTTTAAGACAATCTATGACATGTAAAACCAGAGCTGAGAAATTAACATATCAATTTCAAGAATAATGTGTCGATCCCAAATGTAAGGGATAATACAAAAGCAAAAGTGACTATATCCATAGAGCATCAAATCACCTGTTCTATTCTCTAGCATCAAAAGCAAGTGTTTACTCCTCCTACTACAAGTATGGTTATAAAGAAATAAAGTGAGTAAATTTTTCCCTGTGTGATCTAGAAAAGCCACTAACAATCACAGTATGATGTTTGGGTTTTGGCACTCATCATCACTAAAATATTGACTCTATCTAGTGAGTGAACCTTTTTTTTTTCTATTGAAAATATATTTTAAAGTGTTGTGAGCTTGGGATCTTTCCAATGTAGAAGAAAAACGAAAGGCTTACTAGAGGTTACATTAATGTTTCTTGTGCACACAGGTTCCAGATGGATTTAAAGTAGGAAAAATATCACCCCCCGTATACTTGACAAATGAATGGGTGGGCTATAATGCACTCTCTGAAATCTTCCGGAATGATTGGTTAATTCCTGCACCTGTCGTTCAGCCACCTGAAGAGGATGGTGATTATGTTGAACTCTATGATGCTGGTGCTGGTACAGAAGGTGATGATGGTGACTCTAATGATGCTTATGAAGATACTTATGACCATGCCAATGGCCGTGATGGATTGGATAACCAGTTTGATCAGGCTAATTTTGTCTGCAAGGGCCATGGTGGTCAGGACAACACTGATGAGTTTGGTGATGTAGCGAATAATCGCAATGATGCTCCTATTTGGCCAAGGTTGGTTTTTCTGTTTTTAGTTAGAATCTATGTTTTATTACTTCAGAATTATTTGAATATTTAACTCATTTTTAAAATTTATTATGAAGAAAGTGAATGAATTATACTTGTTTATGTGTACATTATTCGATTTTCAATAATTTTAAATTTTTCTAATGCAGAACACTTACATTTTCAGTTTGTGTGCTATTTTATTAGTATTTAACAGTTTCATTATAACTGTAATTGTCTCAGCATTTAATTGAATGCCACTGAATCATTAAACTGCAAATTCACAACTAGAGTGAGAAATAACGTGACAAAGTGTACTACTTAATAATCTTAAGGTAAAGTCCTGCTATATGTGAGCAGAGGAAGCATTTCTCAAACAGTTATCAATATAAGTAACATATATAAAATGAATTTTATCTGGTTGATTTATGGAGAAATTTCCAAGAGCTATTTTGATTTTTTTCTAACTAAAAAAAACTCGACAAAGAAGTCCATTGTCAAAGAAATTTGCTTTTAGAATCACCACAGATATGGTTGTCTAGTGTTTCTCTTATGCAAATAGATAATTGAGACATTTCATTAAGCTTGGTGTTTTTAGCAAATAATGAAATGACTATTTAGCTCTATAATATATGAAGTCTTTATTACTGAACTTCCTAGTAGGAGTAGTAGACCAGTGGGATCTGTAGCAAAGCATTTGATACACATGTTAGAAAACTTCAGCAGATGTTAAAATTAACATAAACTATATATATATATTGCAAGAAGAATAATTTAAATGTTGTGCTTGAGCCAAAAATATGGGATTGATCATTCATGTGGCTGTGAAGTTGCTAATGCACTAAGAGTCTGTTGTTTAAGAGAAAATGCATGTTCTCAGTACTAATCTAACGCATTTACCTCCCAAAGAATCCAGTATTTCTTCCCTGTGCCATCCCAATGCAGTCAGGAAATTGATGGTGACAATATTGGTAATTTCACATTTAACACTGACAGGACATTGGGCCATTTTTCTTGTCTATATTGTACCAATAGTGTTCCTGTAGAGTAAAACCAAACTGGGCATGGTAGACATGTGTAAGATACATACTAATTGTTTCATTTGTTAACTTTCATATGCATTTTATTGGGTGGCTTTCTTTAATTAATCGGAGCTTATTATCAGGGCAAGCTATGGCAGAAATGGAAGCAGCGAGCAAGATGGTTATGATGGAAAAGAAGGTGCTGGCAGTGGCCGTGGAATCTATAGATCCAGTAGAAGACATGGAGCAAGCGCATTCTGTGAGGTCAGTGCAGGCATTGGAGACCAGAAAGGACTGGAGGGAAGGGAGGCAGTTGAATTAATGAAGAGTGGAGCCCTTGAACTCAGTGGAGAACAAAATTGCTCAGAGACATTATGATCTAAGACTGATGAGATTCGCATTCCAGGAATCTGAACATCATCAAGAGATTATGCATCATTTGAAAAAGAGAAGTCCTTTCATTGTGGATGTGTTTTTCCATGGGATGCATAGGATTTCCAGATATTCCAAATGGATTTTAATATCCTATGCCCAACCCTTAAACATTTTTAACTATAGATGTATGGGTAGATTTGTAATAGTTCTTATTTGGATGGTTCCTCTTGACTTCGATGAACAAAATCTTCTTATTTGTTTGCCTTTGTCACTTAAATCTTATGACGGGGTAATGTCTCAGAATATAACCAGTTTTTTAAATTAATTAGTATATGAAAATTGTGCATATTTTTGTGGTAAAATATAATAATTCAGTACATCTATACAATGTGTAAAATCAAATCAGGGTAATCAGTATTTCTATCTGTTTAAAAGCTTATAATGTCTTTGTATTGGGGCCCTAAAAATTCTCTTCTGATAATTTATAAATTATATGATAAGTAGTTGCAAACTATAGTCATCTTATTGTGTTTTTGATCACTAGAGCTTCTTATTCCTGTCTAACTCTGTTCTACCCATTGTCTCCCTAACCTCCTTCTGTTTCTCCTCCTCCTTCATAGCCTCTAGTGACCACTATTCTACTCTTTATTCTAGGAAATTAGCTTTTTTAGCTTCCACATGGTGAAAACGTGGTATTGCTCTCTCTCTGCTTTGTTTATCTCACTTACAGTAATGTCTTCAAGGCTCATCCCGGTTGCAAATGACAGGACTTCATTCTTTTCTATGGCTCACTAGTATTCCAGTGTTGTTGATACCACGTTTGCTTTTCCCATTGTTCCATTGATGGACACCTCCTTTGATTCCATACCTTGACTGTTGTTACTAGTGCTGCAATAAACATTAGAGTTCAGGCTTCTCTTTGATATCCTGATTTCATTTACTTTGGATATATACCTGGCACAGGGATTGTTAGATCCCATGCTAGACTTAGTTTTATTTATTAATTTGGTTTTGAAACTCCATGTAGCTTTCCATAGTGGCTGTGCTAATTTACATTCTAACCAGCAGTGTATAAGAGTTTCCCTGACTAGAACCCGGTGTGCCGGCGCCGCTAGGCGGAGGATTAGCCTAGTGAGCCGCGGCGCCGGCCTAATCTGTCATTTTTAAGTGTACTAATCAGTAGCATTTTAGTTCAGTCACAGTTGTACAACCATCACTGCTATCGATTTCCAGAACTTGTGTCATCCCTAACAGTTAAATAAATGAACAGTTAAGTTCGAGTTTTTCCAGCTCTTGGTTACCTCTTCTCTATATCTCTAGCTAACAAAGGAGGAGAAGGAACTCGTTTAAATGCTTTCTAGTGGCAAAGCAACATCAGTGGGAAAGTATCTATATATCTGTATCTTTCTGTCTCTCCATCTCTCATTTTCTGTGTGTGTGTATGTGTGTATAACCTATCTATCTGTAAGGACACTTAGAGTAGTTCACGGAAAATACGAATAAAATCAATTGATTTGAGAACTGGCATTGTTGCACAGTGGCTTAAGCTGCCAATTGCGATACCACATCCCTTATGAGTGCCTGTTCAAGTCCTAGCTGATCCACTTCCAGTCCAGCTCCATGCCAAAGCACCTAGGAAAGTAGTGGAAGGTGGTCCAATTATTTTGGACCCACATGAGAGACCTGGATGGTCCAAGTTCCTGGCTTTGGCCTGGCCCAGCCTTGCTTTTGGGGGCTATTTGAGGAGTGAATCAGCAGTTGGACAATCTCTCTCTCTCTCTCTCTCTCTCTCTCTCTGTAACTCTGCCTTTCAAATAAATAAATATATCTTGAAAAAACAAAAATAAATTTATTTTTGTGCAAAATATTTTGAAATCCATACATAAGTTTTTCATAAAATTCTACATTTTGGTTGTGATAACCTAGGGGATCTCTTACATTAAGGAGGTGGAATCATGCAATTTTTGTTCTTCTGTGTCAAGCTAATTTCAGTTAGCATCATATTTTCAAGGTTCATCATTGTGGTAGTTTGTATCAGAATTTCATTCCTTTTTAATGCTGAACAGTATTTCATTGAATTCTTATACCATATTTTGTTTATCCACTCATTTTTCAATGAACATTTGGGTGGTTTCCACTTTTGTCTAGTGTACATATTGCTGCTGTGAGCATTGATGTACAAGTATCCAGTTGAGCCCCTTCTTTTCAGTCCTTTTGGATATATCATCCCCAGGAGGGGAATTGCTGTATCATACAGTACGTCTGTGTTTAACTTTCTGAGGAATTATTAACACAGATGGTTTTAATTGAAGTAATATGCTGTGTTAGACGAAGATGTTTTCATTCACAAAATGTTAACTGCCTTTATAAATAGGTTTAAAATATTCGAGTAGCTCCAGAGATGCTTCAGTAGGAAGTGCCACAGAGAATATTTGCTGGAGCATAAACCAGAAGATATTTGAACTAATTCTTGACAAATGGGAAGTAGCTGAATAGCTGAAAATACAGGTGGGGTTTGAGAGAGAAGAAAGATCATGCCAATATAGTCTCAGTCTACTGTCCTGTCACACAAACTGGCTTTGATAGTTCTATGGTCCCTCATGAGGTAATGTTCCTTGTGCAAGCTGTTCCCTCTGTCTGGAAGGGAACCTCCTCACCTCTTCTCTGCTTGGTGATCCAACTCAATATGATCAACTCAAATATGATGCAACTCAAATATCATCATTGGCTTCCCAAGGCATAATATTATACCATTTTGTCTGTGCTTGTAAGCATTTTGCCCACAGTTCCCATTTTAGTACTTATGACATTGTAATTTAGTTATTTGTTTACTTGCTTTTCTGTTATTCTTGATTTTGAACACTTTAAGAGGAAAAACTATGTCTAAAAGATTATTATTATACTTTGATTATTTTTCTACCAAGTGTGATTATTTTTCTAACAGCTTACCCAAAGTCAGAATCCAGCCTAGGGACTGACCACTGATAGACACACATTCATTATGAAGAAAAGTAAAGAAATAAAATTTTTCAAATGAGAATAAACACTCTTAAATGGTTTCCAGTGGGAAAGAAGCATCAATGGGGGAGCATCTATCTTTCTGTTCCTGTATCTATTCATCTATCTATCTATCTATAAGGGTAATTAAAATAGTTCATGGGAAAAAATTAAGTTCATGAAATCAAAGTTATTTTCACACAAAAATGCTGAAATCCATGTGTAAGTTTTTCATAAAATGTATTTACCATGAGATTTTTGAAGACACCTCATATATATCTGTCATCTATGTATCTATCTTAATTAAAGGAACAATAGAATTGCAGTAGAATGTACCAGAATAGGTTTCATAGAACCCCTAGATATCTCAAGTTATATTAACGAAAGTTTAGAAAATTTGCAGAGTGAATGGATTTTCCTTTTATTTGAATTTCAAGAGAACATGATGCCATACCATGCTTTTGTGGTTGGAAAAGTCACACAAAACAGTATCTGAGAGGGTGGCACAATTCTTTCAGTGCTAAAAATTGCTGTTTCAATACACAGATGATCCCATCAATAGGTAGATTTACCAAAAACCACTGGTATATTTTCTCACATGATATGGCATGCCAAATATATGGTCACACGTTGTGGCTTTATCCTTCAGCATCTTTTTTTTTAAACTTTTATTTAATAAATATAAATTTCCAAAGTACAGTTTTTGGATTATAGTGGCTTTTTCCCCCCATAAGCTCCCTCCCACCCGCAACCATCCCATCTCCCACTCCCTCTCCCATCCCATTCTTCATCAAGATTCATTTTTGATCATCTTTATATACAGAAGATCAATTTAGTATATACTAAGTAAAGATTTCAACCGTTTGCACCCACACAGAAGCACAAAGCGTAAAGTACTGTTTGAGTACTAGTTATAGCATTAATTCACATTGTACAACACATGAAGGACAGAGATCCTACATGGGGTGTAAGTGTACAGTGACTCCTGTTGTTGACTTAACAATTGACACTCTTGTTTATGGTGTCAGTAATCACCCGAGGCTCTTGTCATTAGTTGCCAAGGCTATGGAAGCCTTTTGAGTTCGCCAACTCCGAACTTATTTAGACAAGGTCATAATCAAAGTGGAAGTTCTCTCCTCCCTTCAGAGAAAGGTACCTCCTTCTTTGATGGCCTGTTCTTTCCACTGGGATCTCACTCACAGAGATCTTTCATTTAGGTGTTTGTTTGTTTTGCCACAGTGTCTTGGCTTTCCATGACTAAAATACTCTCATGGACTTTTTAGCCAGATGTGAATGCCTGAAGGGCCGATTCTGAGGCCAAAGTACTGTTTAGGACATCTGCCATTCTATGAGTCTGCTGTGTATCCCGCTTTCCATGTTGGATTGTTCTCTCCTTTTTAATTCTATCAGTTATTATTAGCAGACACTAGTCTTGTTTATGTGATCCCTTTGACTCTTAATCCTATCATTATGATCAATTGTGAACTGAAACTGATCACTTTGACTAGTGAGATGGCAATGGTACATGCCACCTTGATGGGATTGAATTGTAATCCCCTGGCATGTTTCTAACTCTATTGCGTGGGGCAAGTCCGATTGAGCATGTCCCAAATTGTACATCTCCTCCGTCTCTTATTCCCACTCTTATATTTAACAGGGATCACTTTTCAGTTAAATTTAAATACCTAAGAATAATTGTGTGTTAATTAAAGAGTTCAACCAATAGTATTAAGTAGAACAAAAAAAAAATACTAAAAGGGATAAAGTATTAAGTTGTTCCTCGACTGTCAGGACAAGGGCTGATCAATCACTGTTTCTCATAGTGTCCATTTCACTTCAACAGGTTTCCTTTTTGGTGCTCAGTTATTTGTCATTGGTCAGGGAGAACTTATGATATTTGTCCCTTTGGGACTGGCTTATTTCACTCAGCAGGATGTTTTCCAGATTCTTCATCTTGTTGCAAATGACCGGATTTCATTGTTTTTTTATCCTTCAGCATCTTCTGTATAAGTTAATGGAAGCAGGCTAGATTCTTAGTGAAGCCTGTTCAGAGTGTTGAATTTGTGTTGGTTGATTTGCCATCATAGGCTTTGTTATTTGAAAATGATCCCTGCAGGTTTTTTATGCTCCCAGTTCCATAAATGTACCTTGAAGCAGTGGGACGGATCCTCTCACACTGGGCTTTTTACTTTTCCATGTGGCCATTTGGCATAGTGCAGCTGCATATATGCTTCAGAAATAAATTTTGCATCCAAACTGTAGTTCTCTTACCTACTAGCTCCGTGACCTTGAATATATTAGTTAACTGCTCTATACTTTGGTTTCATATAAGGAAATTGGAGATAATTATACTTACTTTTTCGGTTGTGGCAAGGATTCAGGAAGATGTGTAAACAAGATACCTAGTATGGTATCTGGTACATGGTAAATATGTCACAAATGTTAGGTCCCAAATTGTACACTTGAGGAATTAAAGCTCTTTGCATTTTTCCTAACATCAGTTGGCTTAGTAGTAGGTTAGTTCTTTTCTCCTCTGATAACATAGTTGGTTTTTTGTTTTGTTTTTAGTAAACACCAACTTTATAAGAATAGGAACGTTACAATAATGTGTTCTCTTTTCAAATCCTGTGGTTATTTATCCTCTGTTAGCCTCCTAATAAAATCGGTTTGGGATTTCCTTTTAGGAATTAGGTGCTGGAGATGAGGCCTCCTATGCCATGGCCTCAGGTGCTGCACCCTCAGAGCTTGATGATGGAGATGACAATAAAGACATATCAGAATCATCAACACTATCGGGATTTTCTGCCAGCCACTCATCTGCTTCCAGAGGTTCTGAGGGCTCTGTTGATACTGACTTTGCCAGTGCCATTTGTAAGTGTGTTAATATTTGCTAAATGCTATCTGTCGACATATAAATACTAATTAGCCACTGGTTCATGCTGTAGAAGGAATAAATTCATTCTCGTATTCAGTTCACATAAATTCAGCTTGATATATGCTTTTGAAAAATCTCCTTCTGGAGTGGATGTTTAGCCTAATGATTAAGTCACTGGGACACTTGCATCACATATTGGAGTGCCTGAGTTCGAGTCCCAGCTCTGTTCCTGATTCTAGCTTTCTGTTAACGCGCAGCCTGGGAGGCACCAGATGGTGACTCAAGTAGTTGTGTCCATTTCACCCACATGGGAGACCTAGATTGAGTTTCTGGCTCTCAGCTCTGGCTGTTTGCATTTGGGGAGTGAGCCAGTGGATATTCTCTGATATCTCTGATAGTTTCTCTCTTTCTCTCCTTCTCTCTCTCAAATAAATAAAATAGTAATTTTTAAAAAATGTTTGTCCCACTGAACTTTTGTTGTACCTAAATTGAAGCTACATGTGAAAAATTGAATTCCTCACCGTTTTTTTTTTTCAACTCTAATCATAGTATCAAAAAATGTTCTCATTTGGCAATGTATTTTTTCTTTTTTTTTAATTTTTGAGATAACCTTTTAATTTACATTATAGTCAAAGGCTTAATGCTTACTAAATAAAAACTTCAACAAATCAAAAGTGAAAAGAATATATTCAGCAGGAAATAGGCAAGGGAATAAACAATATTTATTTGGTTTGTCGTTAATTTAAGAGAGACTGAAGCACGCACACACACACACACACACACACACACAGAGGCGGGGAGAGAGAGAGAGAGCGAGTGAGCCAGAGCCATCTGCTGCTTGAATATCCAAATGTTTGCAACACTCAGGTATGAGCCAGGCTGAAGTGAAGCCAGGAGCCTGGAATTCATTCCAGTTCCTCCATATGTGTGGCAGGGACCCAAATACTTGAGCCATCATCTGCTGCCTCTCAGGGTGCACATTAATAGAGGTTGGAATCAGGAGCAGAGCCAGGTCTCAAATGTAGGCATTCTGATATGGGATGCTGCCCCAAATGTATTTTATGCATTTGTGTTAAATGTGTCGTGTTGACTATATGCTTTGTATTATCTGATGGCTTAAATTACTGGAACGATACCTCTAGTGAAGCATAGAACACAACAAAGGAAAGGGAGCTCTTCTAGGCTGTTTTTCATGTTTAGAAGCAGTAAAGCGCCTATATAGTATTTAGTCATTTCTCTCAATATCTCCCTCTCACTTCTTCACAGTATATGCTGGTTTTGTGGAAGTACCTGAAGAATTACCTAAGCGACCCTCTGATGTCAATGTTAACCCACTCTATGTCTCGTCTGCAAGTAAAAAACCACTAATCCACGTGTATGAAAAGGAATTCACTTCTGAGATCTGCTGTGGTTCTTTGTGGGGTAAGTTTGGTGTCTTAAAACTGAGGTTTTTTTTTTTCCAAGAATGTATTTTAACCTAAGTACCAAACATGGGACACATCATAGACATAAAAATGTGTTTGCTATTACCAAACCATTAGCAATCAAATAAAAAATGTATTTATAGTGGTTAATTTGCTTAGAATTGGTTTTGCTAACTTTTTCACTCTGTGCAGCTTCAAGTTTGAATTGTTGGGTCCCATTTTTTTTATTCTATTCTTTTGCTTTAACATGAATTAATTTGACTCAAATATAAAATTGGACTAGGTTGTAATTATTTGAAAATTTGAACTTGTTATTTCTTTTTTGGGTTGAGTTCAATATATGATACCTGATAAGGTATTAAAAGAAAGATTTCTGCAAGACCTTGATTTTTAAATAGTGTCAAGGATTTGTAGAAAAAGTTCTTTCTATAATGTCTCAACATTAATAGACTCTCTCAATCCTTTGTTACAGAAGAAGTATAACCACGTCGGTAGTGCTGAGACAATATTTCACCTCAAGCCAGTCTGAATCATAAATGCAATAGAATAAATGAATATAAGAAGGGGAGAAATCCAAAGTAAATGCCAACCTCCAACTTTTGCACTTCCATAGATTTTGCTTCATGTATGAATGAATAGGAGAGAGAGTTTTAAATTGGAAATAGAACAGGCTAGCAAACATTATTGTAATATGGATTGGGCCGGCGCTGCGGCTCAACAGGCTAATCCTCCACCTAGCGGCGCCTGCACACCAAGTTCTAATCCCGGTCGGGGCGCCGGATTCTGTCCCGGTTGCCCCTCTTCCAGGCCAGCTCTCTGCTGTGGCCAGGGAATGCAGTGGAGGATGGCCCAAGTCTTTGGGCCCTGCACCCCATGGGAGACCAGGAGAAGTACCTGGCTCCTGGCTTCGGATCAGCGTGGTGTGCCGGCCGCAGCGCACCAGCCGCGCCGGCCATTGGAGGGTGAACCAATGGCAAAAGGAAGACCTTTCTCTCTGTCTCTCTCTCTCACTGTCCACTCTGCCTGTCAAAAAAAAAAAAAAATTGTAATATGGATCGAACAACTTAGGGAAAGAGTACCATCTTTAAAAGTTGTGCTAATTTAACATCTCAGACAAAAGATGGCTTTAACATTTGTCTGGCAACTACCTAGAAATGTCAGTAACAACTACTATTGCACTTTTATAACTTGCGATGTTGTATTTTAAAAATCAAAAGATTATAGCAAAAATCGGCTGTGATTTCCCCTTTGTTCTTGATTCTCCCGTGAGAGGAAGGTGAAGTTTCTAGATCGGCATGGGCTGGAAATTAGAGAACTGCTAAAGGACAGAGTGGGAAAATGACGGCACACACATTTATCTCTTCTCCTCATCCCCACAGAGTGCACAGATTCTCCTATCTGGCTGATTGTCGCCTGTGTCTCATTTACAGGGACAAACTCCCACAATAATCTGAAGTATATTGTAACTTTAGTTCTATCTTCGCGTTTAATCCTCTTGTTGGATCTTTAAACAGTGTTTATATTTGAATAAATAGAGCCAACCCACAGATAAAAGGAGTGTAGGAATTTAGATTTGTGAAGGTAGGAAATAATTTCAGAGGCATGTAGCAATGTAAATTTTTCATATATGTATGAACATAGAATCCCTCAATTTTTAATTATTTTAAAAGCGTGAAAACCTTTATGGTTAGGAATGAGAAACTGACCCTTTTTATATACTAGACTAAGGCTATTTAATGATAATTTGGAAAAGGGTCATTTGAATAGTGTTTTTTTCTTCTTACTATTTGTTGAATTATTAGTATTAAGGTTAACCTTATGAGTATAAATTAAACTGAAAGTAGATCATTGTAAAAATTAAAAGAGTAAGATAGGAGGAGAAAGAGTGGGAGTGTGGGCAAGAGGGAGGGTAGGGTAGGAAGCATCGCTGTGCTTCTAAATCTGAATATATGAAATACATGAAATTTATTCACCTTAAAAAAATTTTTTAAAGAAAATGGTTGATTGATTTTGATCAAGTTTGGGGTACTACTAATGAGTGTTAAGATAGATTTAAAATTCTGTTTATGATATAGTCTACCAAACACCAGTCAGTGGAATACTGCCAGAAAGTGGGTTATCATCTATATTTTCATGTTTTTCAATGAAATTTGTTCTGTTGATAGACAGTATGTAGTTACACAGTGTGAGGCTAACATTAGCTTAAAATGATAAAAGTCACCTTTACATAGCTCAGCTTACTGGCATAGCAAAGTAGTAATATAAATGCCATTACAAACATAATCTGAGCTAATATCGCATTTTTCTCTTTTATATATGAACAGGAGTCAATTTGCTGCTGGGAACCAGGTCTAATTTGTATCTGATGGACAGAAGTGGAAAGGCAGACATTACAAAACTTATAAAGCGAAGACCTTTCCGCCAGATTCAAGTCGTGGAGCCACTCAATTTGCTGATTACCATCTCTGGTTTGTTTAAGAACTAAAATTAGCTGAGTAATTATGCAGATTAATTAGGCTGCAAACTGGGTTAAAGACTTTCTCAGGTGAAAGTGTTCATAAGAGAACACTTTAAATTTAGCACTTAATTGGGACAACAGATATTCCTACTCTGATTTTCTTTTACTATGTAAGCTAACTTCCTTTTTCTGTGGTGCTCTTGATCTAGATTAGCGGTAAGACGAAGCACACTGTTTGCATATTCGTTGGTTCTCTTCTGAGTAGCGTCCTACCACTTACAGCGCTGATTCTCCTCCTGTGCACACACACAACCACACCAATATCCAACATAAACTTTTCTTGTGATGTGTTAGGAGCAAGACTAAGAAGAGACTTGACCCTGGCACAGAATTATCCTAAGAGCATACACATAGGTTTAGTCACAGGAATGGATGCACTAAAGAGCGCTGCACTTTCCCCATAGGAAGCTGGAATCCTTAGTTTTGCTTATCCGGAGCCAGAATCACTGAATAGGAGAGAGCACATAAATGGCTGTAAACAATGATTGTGATTGTTCAGCAGGATTTGCTCTCTGGAAGGCACTAGCTTTAAACTGACAATATGCAAAAAAGGGAGGGAGAAAGTAAAAATGGAATACAATGATGTGAATCACAGTAATTTACATCAAGTTATATGTTTATATATGATAGCATAATCAGTGTGCTGTGCAAATTGCCATGTTGTATATTAATGATTATATATATGCCTAAATATGACTTACTGTACTGTAAATTTTGGTTAGAGGGGAAAACCCTACATAGGTATGCTCAGACTTACTTTTTTAAAAATAGTGTTTCATGGTGATTCATTTATAGTTGTTTGAGGTACACAGGAGCAATATTTAGTTTGTGAAAACATCTGTGTGGGTTACAGCCTACACATCAGGGTAACACATTTCCTTTTATGCAGCTTTCTCTAACCCAAGCGTGCCCTTCTTCAATACTTGAACTTCTCTCAGATGTGAATAAATGGGGGCCAGTGCTGTGGCCTAGTGGTCCTTGCGATGCTGGCATCCCATATGAGCAGTGGTTCGAGTCCTGGCTGCTTCACTTCCGGTCTAGCTCCTTGCTAATGCACCTGGGAAAGCAGTGAAACATGGCATATGTGCTTGAGCACCTGCCATCCACGTGGGAGACCCAGATGAAGTTCCGGGCTCCTGTCTTCGGCCTGGCCCAGGCCTGAGTGTCTCTGCTTCTCTCCTGTCTCTGTAACTATGCCTTTCAAATAGATAAAAAAATCTTGCTTTGAAAAAAGTGGATAATATTTGCACCAAATAGTTTTAAGGACAGCAGCACAGTAAAATACTCAATAGTTTAAAGTGAAAATTTGTTTTACCACTTAGGAATAAAAAGGATGTAAACATAGTCACATGAAGCCTAATATTGCTTTAAAAATATTATGTAAAACTACATTAAAGATTATTTACATAAATAAAGAAAAACACTATTATTGGGCTTAGAAATCTTATAATAATAAATTCTATAAATGGCTAACAGGGAATGGCTAATGTAGGAAGATAAATTTGTGATTTTAATGGCCGTTGTTTTCCGAATGAATTGTAAGGTTTTGCTAGGATTTACAATTAGAAAATTAGCATTAAAGATAAATTAGACCGAGGAAATATAATGAAACTATTTAGTCATTTTGTAGGCTTGCTGGAATGACAGAATACAAAGAGACCTATCCCAGTGGCCCTAAATACCCAAACAGTGAATGCTCAGACGTATTACCAGCGACAGCTTCTACAGCTGTGATCCCCAGAGGGCTTAGGACTTAGGAAAAAGCCAAGGGACAAATGAATAGATGATATTTCCGATTCCTGTGCATTCTCAACCTGTTCCAAAGAAGTGTCTTAGATACATTTCAGATAGGCACACAGGGAGCTGGTAGACAACCTTAACTATGTCTTTGAAGTGAGATCCTAAGAAAGAATTGTCTGGGGCCAGTGCTGTGGCGCAGCGGGTTAAAGCCCTGGCCTGAAGTGCCAGCATCCCATGTGGGTGCAGGTTCTAGTCCCGGTTGCTCCACTTCCAATTCAGCTCTCTGCTATGGCCTGGGAAAGCAGTAGAAGATGGCCCAAGTCCTTGGGCCCCTGCACCCACATGGGAGATCTGGAGGAAGCTCCTGGCTCCTGGCTTTGGATCGGCACAGCTCCAGCCATTGCAGCCATTTCGGGAGTGAACCAGCAGATAGAAGACCTCTCTCTCTCTCTGTTTCTACCTGTCTCTTTAATCCTGTCTTTCAAATAAATAAATAAATCTTTAAAAAAAGAAAGAATTGTCTATCACTTTTCCAAACTCTGAAGAGGAGAATTTGATGTGATATAATTTTTTAAAAATCGTTTTTGGTTTAATGAAAACATTTCCTTAAAAAGACAAAATACCTTTATTTTGCAAAAAATTATTTATTTATTTGAAAGGCACAGCACTAGAGAGGGAGACACAGGGGAAGAGAGAGAGAAGAGAGAATGAGAAAGAGAATGACACATCTTCCATTCTCTGGTTCATTCCCCAAATGGCTGTGGTAGCCAGGTCTGGTCCAGGCCAAAGCCTGGATCTCCCACGTGGGTGGCAGGGGCCCAACCACTTTGATCATCCCTACTGCCTTTCCATGCATATTAGCAGTAAGGGGGATCAGAAACAGAGCACCTGGGCCACAAACCTGCACTCTGATATGGTAACATCACAAGTGATGACTTCACCCACTATGCCACAATGCCAGCTCCTCACTTTACCTTTTTGTTCTTCTAAGAAATGAAAAAAAAATATTGAATTGAAATATTGTATCTGTTTATCAGGTCGTAAGAACAGACTTCGAGTGTATCATTTGACCTGGTTGAGAAACAAGATTTTGAATAATGATCCAGAAAGTAAAAGAAGACAGGAGGAAATGCTGAAGACGGAGGAAGCCTGCAAAGCCATTGATAAGTTGACAGGCTGTGAACACTTCAGTGTCCGTAAGTCCCATTTCGTGTTTACCATAGTTATATACGTTTTGCTTCCTGTCATTTGGTGAAGTACATGATTGCGAAAGACAAAATGGAGAGAGGAAAGGATTTGCAACTTCAAATACAGAAATCAAAGAATTTCATTGAGACATCTTCCAGGTCTTCCATGCTACACTCTTGACAGTTCCTGAGAAAATATTGACTGGCTGATAAAGCTAATGAAGTTAAGTTTGAGTAATTCCTCACCTTTCTTCCCTTCCCAGTCACCCTAAGCATTCCAAAAAAAAAACAATATTTATTTCCCACATCTTTATAGCTTCAAATATAAATATTCTTGATATATCTTCAACAGCCTGCAGAGACTCACATGGTATTCTCTTTCTTTGGTATAGCAAAAAAAAAAAAAAATAGAATACTTCTCAATACTGACAAAGAAGCTGTATGATGAACCAAAAAGAAAATTCTTCTACGATCTTCTAACTTTGGTGCCCACTATAGGTATTCATGAGGATAATTTCTAACTACTTTCTGTCTGGTTAGAGTGCTTTCATATTGTCTGTCTCTTCACAACCATTAGTGTGGAATGAAGTCACTACTCCAGGATCTCATAGTCCTGCTCTCAGCTCTCAATGACTATGTAGTGATGTCTTCCCATTGTGTTCGATTTCCAAAGCAAATCGCCTCTGCTCTTGGCCTGCTTATAGTCTTTCCCTTTTCACTAAGTGCCACTACAGGCATGGAGTGGGAAGGGGAGATAACTGGAATCACATTCTATTAAGTGCAGCAGGACATTTCTATACTGACTGACCAGGATGGAATTTCACATGTATGTATATGTACGTAAACACCACGAAAGGAGGACGAGCATACTCAGATAACATAGCACTAAATAAATGCCCTACTTTCTTTTAGTTTTATATATTGCTACTTCCTTCCAATCAGATTATGTACATTTGGTAGCTTCACAGATTAAAGCTATCCCTAGATGTTAATCTATGAGTTATATAGCAGAACTGCCTCCTACTAACTTGGGAATTTTTCATTCAAGAAGACATAGTTACAAAGGTTGTCATCTTGCACATCTGTCCTCTTGGTGAGGGAAAGGACTAATTAAGTCTGGCTTTCCTGGCTGATTTCATTCCAGTCTGCCCTACCTCTCAGAATAGCCAAAAAGCATTCGTCCCATTGACAGATGAAACAGCACTACCTTCACAGAAGGATAGCAATGGATCATATTTGCTTGCTATTTTTGTAGCCTTCAAAGTCCCATAAAACAATGGATTGGCACTAATTTCTGCCCTATATTAAATTTATATGAAGTATTTGCTTAAAAGAGAATCCCTTTGCTTGTTGGAGCTTATTAATCATGCTCCTTTGACCTACTTTGGAACAATACAAAAGAAAATGAATGAATAAGAGCAAGTTACACTCCGATTGAGAGACATCAAGATGTAGGAAGGGAATGTGAGGGAGACAAAGGGGGAGGTAGAGGGGGAGGGGCAGAAAGAGAGAGAGAGACTAACACCACCTAGAAAGGAAAAAGGGAAAAAGAGCAGTATCCCACCCTAGAAAGAATTGTTTTAGTGAAGTGTATAATTTATCAGATAAAACAACGTATTCTTTTTTAAGATTTATTTATTTATTTGAGAGTCAAAGTTACACACAGAGAGAAGGAGAGGCAGAGAGAGAGAGAGAGAGAGAGAGGTCTTCCATCTGCTGGTTCACTCCCCAATTGGCCACAGCGGCTGGAGCTGCACTGATCTGAAGCCAAGAACCAGGAGCTTTTTCCGGGTCTCCTACACAGGTGCAGGGGCCCAAGGACTTGGGCCATCTTCCACTGCTTTCCCAGGCCATAGCAGAGAGCTAGATCAGAAGTGGAGCAGGTGGGACTCAAACTGGCAGCCATATGGGATGCTAGTACTGGAGGCGGCGGCTTTACCCCACTACGCCAGAGCGCCGGCCCCAAAAAACAACATATTCTTTAAGAGCCAGAAAGACTAGCTAAGAATAAGCATGTACTTTTTGTACTCTTTTATCATTAAAAACAGTCTTATTAAAATAATTTATATATCATAAAATATGCCCTTTTAAAGTGCATGATTTCATGTTTTTTAGAAAGTTTGTATAGCTATGTCACCATCAGCATGACCTAATTTTCATCATGACCCCCCAAAGGAACTCATGTCCATTAGTACTCACTCCCCATTCCATTCCTCTCCTGTTTGCTTCCTCTTACAAGTATTTACTTCTTTCTGTATAGGATTGCTTTTCCTGAATAGTTAATATACATGAAAACCTAGGTTACATAGCCTTTTATGTCAGACTTCTTTGACTTGGCATAATGTTTTAGGGTTCATCCATGTTGTATCATTCATATCATTTTCTTCCTTTTTCTACTGAATATCATCATGTTGTTTGACCATACTACCTTTCCTCCATTCATACATTGGTTGATGGACATTTGTACTCTCTCCACTTTTCGGCTCTGCTCTGGACATTTTTGTACATCTGTCTATGTGAGTGTATATATGATTTGTTTTTCCTCTAGTGGTGCCCCTGGACTGTTTTACAAAGTGGCTGTACCATTTCACATTGCCATTAGTAATGTGTGAAGGTTCCATTTTCTCAACAATCTTTTGAACACTTGTAGATGTCTTTTCTTTCTAGCCATCCTGGTGGATGTAAAGTGGTATCTCATTGTAGTTTTAATTTGCATTTTCCTTATGATTAATATTGTTGAGTGCCTTTTTATGTGTTTACTGGCCACTTGTACATTGTCCTTAGAGAAATAACTCTTGAAAACCTTTGCCTATTTTTAATTGGCTGGTCTATCCTTTTGTTGTTGAGTTGTAAGCATTGTTTAAATATTCTACATACTAAACCTTTATCAAATATATGATTTGCAAATATTTTCTCCCATTGCATAGGTTGTATTTTCACTTTCCTGATAGTATCCTTTGTTATATAAAAGTTTAATATTGATGAAGTATAATTTATCTATTTTTTTGTTCCTTTTACCTTTGGTATCAAATATAGAAATGTGTTGCCATATTCAAGATCATCAAAGATTTATCCCTATGTTTACTTCTAAGAGTTTTACAGTTTTAAATCTTGCATTTAGGTATTTTTAAATCCATTTTGAATTAGTTTTCATAATGTGCTGTGAGGTAGGAGTCCAAGTTTAGACTGTTGTCTGTGAATACCCAATTGTCCCAACACATTTCTTGAAGACATTGTTCTTTCGCTATTGGATGATCTTGGCACAATAGATCATAGATGTGTGAATTTATTTCTTGACTCACAATTCTGCTCCATTGATCTGTATGTCTATCCTTATATCAAGTACCATGATGTTTTTATTAATATAACTTATAGTCAGATTTGAAATCAGGAAGCATTAATTCTCAAACTTTGATTTTTCTTTTCAAAGATTCATTTATTTAGAGCTTCTCACAATTCCATGTGAAATTTAGGTTTAGCTTGTCCATTTCCACAATAAGAAGCCTTTGAGATTTTATTAGGTATTACATTGAATCTATAGAGATAGCTTTAGATAATATTGCTTTATTACCAATATTGTCTGCCTATCCATGAACATGGGACGTTTTTCCAAATGTTTATGTCTTCTCTCATTTCTATAATCAGTTTTTTTCAATTTTCAGTGTATGATTTGAAGGGCTCTTGAAGGCACATGCATACAGTCCATAAAAGTAATTCTATCACTTTTTTGGGACATCAAATTGTAACCAAGTAAAATATGTGTGTTCTATATTCTTACATCGTGGTTACAGCATTTTCAATGACAAATACAAATACTTGAGTGTTTGTGGCATTGTTACTTCTTTGTATTTTATCATTGTAGTCCAACATGAAGAAACAACCTATATTGCAATTGCTTTGAAATCATCAATTCACCTTTATGCGTGGGCACCAAAGTCCTTTGATGAAAGCACTGCTATTAAAGTGAGTGATCACTTTCCCCTTTGGATCATACAGTTTTTCTTTTGAGAAGAAATTGTAAACGTAACAGTATTATGGATCACAGGTGCAGAATTACATATCATTCTTTGATAGTTAATGAAATTTGAATATGCCGTGTCAATAATTATCATGTAACCCTTTTTTAGACAATTTGCAGGCACCACAGCAAGGGAGAATATCAGGGAAATCCCTGACTCCTTCCTCTGTTTACAGGAATTTCCCACCAGCTTCCCACTCCCAATTCCTGTAGTCAACATGAAGATCTTCTCTTCTAGAGCCCCAAATACAGGTTCTGGTGTCACCCCAATGACTTTAAGCTGAGAACATCCCTGTTCTCTCCTAGTGGGTGGGTGGAAATAAAACGGAATGTAAGGAGAGGCATGTCAATGATAGAGGGTGAACCTCATTGGAAGAGGAAAGAGGGAAGAGGAAATCTTTACCCCCAGTTGCCATGGCTACCATACCTGGTGGGGGGGTGGGGAGGAAAGGGATGGGTCTGCATTCCCTCCAAGTTGGGACTTTAAACAAGTTTTTCCCTCGAATTATTGTGAAGTATGGTGACTAAGCTTCCCATACTTTTCCCACATGTATTATGCTTTAACTGAACATCTGTGGATCAACCATGGAAGGTAACTATTGAATGTCCCAAACAGTTAAGCTATTGTTGATTGTTTTTACTCATATCCCATAAATAGGGAAATTTTTGCATCTAGAGTAACTTATAATGCCCCATAACTACACATAAATAGAATGGTTTGTGTTTATTCCATAGTAATGAGGGATGATTAATAAACTGGCAGCATTTTATTGAGTTCAATAGCTCCTAACCTGGGATGTATAACAGGATCAGCTGGAGTATTTGTTAAAAGTTAGATCTCAGACCTCACCCCAGGTTGAATTAGTGGATCTGGAGTGGGGCCTGGGAATCTGTATTTTTAGCACATGTTCCAGGTGATACTGGACTAGTAGGTCCAAGAATAGGTTTTTGCAAAGCACTGACAGATACACATCCTACATATTGTTTATGAAATGCTTTTGTGTCTTAGGTCAGGATTTGTTTACATAGTATATTTTTTAGGTCAAAACATCATGTTTATACAATAAAGAAGGGCTAATTCTTGGGACTATCCCTCAACATCCATTTGCAAAATAATGAATTTCTTTTATAAATAGCACAGACTAATATATAGACTGTATGGGTCTACATGTCACAGATTACATCCCTGATCTGATCTCCTTAAACTGGGCCTTGGGTCAGCTGTCATTATTTGGATATGGGTTTGTTCTTGGGTGTCTGCTGATTGGTCAGAGCTACCTGGTATGGAGCTGGAAAGCAAAGAGCTAAGTACCAACAGTTTGTCTAGCCTGATACACACAGTTTCTGGCCTAGGTCCTCACTCTACTTCTTGAATTCCACCTCCTGACTACAATATTGTGAATCCTGTGATGCTCAGTCCTGTACCCTAACCTGATCTTGGCAGTTAAGCCTGTTTGACCTTTGTTTCCTTGGACTAGAAACCATAGGAGCCTAGAGTATACCCAGTCTATGGTAGGTTAACATGTCTGGCCTTTTTCATTCCCTACCAAGTATGCATTGATCAATCAGCAGACTCCGAAGGAGACTACATGTCCTATGAAGCCTATATACGAATACTGGCAAAAATACAGGCAGCTGATCCAGCGAACCGGTTTAAGAGACCAGATGAGCTCCTTCATTTGCTGAAGCTCAAGGCAAGAAATTTAAAAACCACAGAGTGCAGGACCAGACAAGGCTCTTAGAATCATTAGGAACTGAACCTTTGAAAAGAACACTCAATATTTAGAACATAAATGTAGTTATGTATTTTTTGTAGTAACAGATGCAAGAAAAGTTGTAATACATAGATCTCTAAATACAATATTGCCATTTAAAAGATTCAGCTGGGTATTACAAAACTGCGAACCTGGCAAAAAAAAGTAGGGGAAATTTTGCCTTAGTCAGAATGTCATTTTTGGCCTTTTGGCCACATTTGGTTTTATATTTGCAGGTATTTCCAACACTTGGTCACAAGCCAGTGACAGTTGACTTGGCTGTTGGCTCTGAAAAAAGACTAAAGGTTTTCTTCAGCTCAGCAAATGGCTATCACATCATCGATGCAGAATCTGAGGTTATGTCTGATGTGACCCTGCCAAATAATGTAAGATAATATCTTCAGATCCTTTGAAATTATGGTATACCACTATTTGAGTTTTTCCAACTGTCAAAACCCTGAAGGGTTTGGAAATATGATTAACAATATCTGTACTGGAACTGAGACCTAAAGGTAAGTATAGACTGCCAGAAAGTGGTTTCTTGGTCCAGACAGCTGAGTCTATCCTGCAGATGGATTTTGTTTTCCTGGCCCAATGTCTTTTATTTTTCATTTACATTTACAACCTAGACTTCTATTCATAAACCAGAAGATGTGATATCAAGCACACGTTATTGTCTGGACATCATCAACTGAAATGATTCATCCTTGCTCCCTATTAGATGGGATATATGTTCTGCATTCTCTATTCATCTTTATGTATTTACAATGACTGGCCCTAGGAGGCATTTCAGTTTGCAAATCCTTAATTTAGTTAGACCTTCTCCACCTCTAAGACATTAACAGATTTTTTAAAAAAATACGCCAATATTGCAGCATTATCTACATAATACATATTACATATAACCTCCCTTCTTTGTGGTATAACTTTGTGTTATAAAGTAAATGGTCATAAATGCTCTCCTATCAATTATAGTTGGAATTTCAGCTCAAAGGTTTCAGAATTTTGAAAGCACATGTGCCTCAACTTTTAATCTTAAATTATTGTAAATAGGGATAATATGGCACAACATTTAAAATATGGATAATTGTAAAATAGTATACATATAACTTATATAATTAGCTCAAACATGACAGTACTCCTTACACACACAAACATGCAGACACACACACCAGCTAAATATAATTACGTTCTGTCTCAGATTTGATGGTTGCAATGATGTCTATCCGACTGGAAATTAATTTGAAAGACCTGACCACACAATTCTCTGCTTCATCCATTTGTTTATTCATAGTGTATAGAAGACTAAAATTTTAGCAATTCAGCACTATACAGAAAATCCAGAAGAAAACCTTAAGTGCATTTTATTCACTATAGTCAGGTGATATTTTGAGTAGCATTAAAAATAACCTTATATACCTCTAACAAAGCATTTTGGTCATATTAACAATCACCTAGTTATTGCCTATATATATATATTGCCTATATATAGAGGCATATATATAGGCAATATATATATATATATACACACATACATACATACACATATATGTGTGTATGTCTATCTCATCCTGTGTATAATATACATATTTACCACCCTGTGTATAATGTAAAAAATATTTAAATCCCAGCCAAAACCACTTGGATATGAGGTTAATTTTGATGTAAATATTGTAGCACTCCTCAATCAGAGTATCTTTCATAGCTTCCTGCTTGTTATTTTTCTTTTGTTATTTCATATATCCTGCTCTTATTTAGAACCTAGTGCAATGTTGAACATGGCAGCATGGGTCCAAGTTTACACTTGTTTGAAAGGCCATTCAAGAAGCTTGAACCCTGTGTTTCACCTGACTAATAAGCAAAAAAAGTTCTTCCTTTTGAAGCAATCTGATAGTCACTGTGAAAGCTAGAATCAGGGATGAGATTTGGGAAATCATTTTCTGACCTAATAAGAATACTGTACATATCTTCAAAATTATTTTTAGCTAAATGCCCTAGTGTCTTGACCCATTAAAAGAAAAAGGACTCTAATGTAGGGGAGTTGAGGGTGTCTTCTGAAACAGAATGTTCTAAAAATAATACCTTTTCCAAGAGTGCTAGATTACAAAAGCTGTCATGATGCAAGGGAGCCATGTGTGCGAAAGAATATCTAGTTACTTCAGGAATTGCCTGAGAAGAAAGAGAATTACCTCTGAGGCTCTCTGGATTTCCAGCAGTCCAGTTTTATTGTAAACAGATTTTATTGAGACAGCTTTCTTTCTCGCAAGTTCTTTTCCTCTCTTCCTTCATCTCCTTTCTGATTCAGCTGCTCATGCAAGTGCCCAGGGAACGCATTAAAATTGCTTTTCGCCTCTGGATCCCCATTTTAGTTTTAAGGATTGTTGTTGCTGAGACATGGCCTCAAGCACTTGGCCTGAGTGCGCTGGGTTCGGCAAGTATAGTTTCTGACCTGTTTTTCCTGTAACTTGTTAATTTGGGAAAATGCTAGACGAGAACACAATTGTTTGCTTTACAAGGAAATACTGTTAATGTGACAATATCTGTAGTTTGAGAAAATCTGGTCACATTGTTTTGTGAACCACAAAATTCAGAGATGCCTAGGTGTTTCTTAGTATTTCCTGTGATGTCAACTAACAGGTCTCTGAATATGTGTTTAGATGTATTTTAAGATTATAAAAATTGAATAAGAAATCATTTTTTTTGTAAAAGGCGCATGACTTATATTTCAGTCCGTGAAGAATTTTGGAAAGCTGCCTTTTGTAAGCATTTTAAGATAAACTTGTTTTTAGATTAATTTTCTATTTCTATGATTTCTATTAATTTTCTATCTGAAGGAATTGGCCAGTGACCAAAGATTGTGTATTTGCTCCTTTGGTCACACATTCAATACTAAAGTATTTCCTAATGTGCCTACATGAATCTGAAACTGAACTTAGTAACAAGGAATGTTTCTTCAATAATTATACATAATATTAGGAGAAATTCCAAGAGATTTATCTGTCTTGGAAATGTATGTCTACTTTTCACAAACAAGGCTTTCTCCTCAATATACAGGGGGATATTAAGAAGTGAATTTATGGCATAAGGCGAGCAGCTCTTTCCAAGTGTTGGATAGCACTCTGTTTAATTTGGAACTAGAGGTTTCTTGTCTTCCCTGCACTTTGAAACTCTTTTGCTCTTTATTGCGGAGCCAGGCTGCTTCTATTAAAATAGTAGTGATAAAATGTTGGACCTATAAATCTTTCTGAAACGTAATTCCAGCCCCTGGAAATCATTATACCACAGAATATCATCATTTTACCTGACTGCTTGGGGATTGGCGTGATGCTCACCTTCAACGCTGAAGCCCTGTCCGTGGAAGCCAACGAGCAGCTCTTCAAGAAGATCCTGGAAGTGTGGAAAGACATCCCATCCTCTGTAGGTATGTGTAAAAAGTCTTGCTCTTTCACATTCCCACAGGCACTTTTCAAGGGCAAAAGATGTGTCTGAAGGAAAGATTTCCGGAATCAATGACGTTTTCTCAAGGCACATAGGGATAATTTGGGCTCCTGCATATGTATTCTCTTAGTATGCGGATATAGTGTTTGCCATATAATTAATAAAATCACAGGACTACCTCCAAAAGACTGACTTTGATTATCTGAGTTGTCCATTTGAAATGATAATACAGTTTACATGGGGCACATTGCAACAATAACCGGTCATTTTGTTTTAACTCCCTTTGCTAGTAGACTTTACACAGATATGGAAAGTGCTTCTTCCCATGACATTGCTTTTGACAGTCTACCTTTATCCTAGGAGACTGCCAAATCAAAGACGAGTAAACTGTGTCTTCTTTGAATAGTCAGTAGTGTTGGACTCAGTGAGTGAGACTCTTGTGAAGAACCACATCATTTGGCAAAAAGAGAGATGTGCCTGACTGCCTTTTCATCTTCAGCAGATCAGGACTTTTTTTTTTCCTTCCTCACCAATTCAAGACTGCTGAGCTGGGAAAACTGAATAATTTGCGATGCGTGTGTAGGTTTTGAGGCTTAGTGACAAGGGTGATTCTAGACAGGAATCCATAAACATGAAAATTAAAGCTATCAGAAAGAGTAGAATAATTAAGTAGAGGGTGACTATTCCTGAAAGGAGGAGCAATCGAGTGCAAGAAATAAAGGAGAAAGGCAGTGGTATGTGTGAGGGTGTGAGCAAGAGAGGGAGGGGAGTAGTCTGTCATGAGAGAATCCAGAAGTCTCTGAAATCTGTGTAAAATGGCTAAATGAGAACCTCTCAAGGGGCTTGAAGGATGAGTTTGAAAGAACTGCATTTTAAGGGACATTTTTTTTCCATGACATTTTACATCTGCAGCACCCTTTCATTTTTTCCGTACCTAGTCAGTGTTAAGAACTGTCCTGAATACCTTTCAAATTCTTCCACAGGTAAGAGCTTCTGAAAATCTTAAGCCCATTTTAAATGACAGGAGTATCATTGGCATATCTGGGGCAAAAGAAAGTAAAAAGAATGCATTAGGTCCTAACCTTTACAGTGGTACTTTTGTGATTGATAGGTTAATCAGAAATACATGTAAGGAAAATCAGTTCAAATGCAAAACTAATCAAACCCCTATATTTATGCCACCAAACAATTATAAGAGTCAGAGATCTTGAAAAGTCATCCAGCTACAACTCTTATCCTTAGGAAGGACAACTCGTGACCTAAAACAAAAGCTACTGCAAGTTGTTGTAGAATAAATTATAGCACTAGAAGAACATGATATTTTAACTTATGCATTAAAAATATTTTCAAAATATATTAAAGAATGCAGTATAACACTGATATCAAGGAAATAAATTACTCTATTTTTCTATCTAAAACCAACTGCTGGTATGGGCATTTAACTTAGTTAAAACACCCATGAGGATGCTCACATTCCATGTTGGACTTCCTGAGTTACAGTCTCAGATCCACTCCTGATTCAGGCTTGCTGCTAATGCATATCAGGTGGATAGTTCAAGTACTTAGGTCCCTGCTTGGGAGTCCTGGATTGAGTTGCTGGCTCCTGGCTTCTGTTTATCCCAGCCCTGGCCATTGCAGGCATTTGTGATGTGACCAGCAGGTGGAAGTGCTCGCTCGCTCTCTCGCTCTCTCTCTCTCTTTCTCTAAGTAACAAATTTAAATAAAACCAACTACACTGTTATTTAAAAGCCAACCCGTATCCAGACATCCATAATCTAAATTTTATATTTCTCTGAGCAATAAGAAATGTTTTCAATAAAAAGTTCATTGCTCTGCATTTCCCAAATATGTAGAGGCTTAATAATTGCAGCAAATATTACCAACTGTTCCCACTTCCAAATCATTGAGTCCCATTTAAGACAGCAAGCTAGCTCAATAGCTATATGAATTGCAGATTTATGCATTTTATGACTAAGAAATTACATGATGTCATATGAACTGGGTACTTGGACTCACCATATATCCTTTGCATTAAGTTTAGAAAGTTTTGCTCTGTGTGGGTGATAGAAATACCATTTTTAATAAAATAGTCACACAAGTGAAATAAATTCATATCCAGATGAACTAAATCTATTACTTGTTCCCATCACTCAGGCCACAGATTGTGTTTATTTCCCCTATAACTGGGGTGATTGTAATTCTAGTTTGAAATTGGACTTACAACATTTTTCCAGGACTGCCATTTTTTGTGAGTCAAAGTATGATTGTAATTTAATTACAATTTTGATGTAAGTTTCATACACAGTAGTATTTTGAATTATAATATAAGAGGAAGCAGGAGATAAAAAATGCCTAGTAAGTTTTGGTTGAGAGATTCAAGATATCTAACGCTCAGCCTAGGAAAAGTTACTTTTATAGAAGTTTACTATTTCAGCCTTGTCTTTAGATATATTTAATGTATATGCATAGAGGTCAGGTGAATTTTGGTTTAAACGCAGGCATCTTAGAACTTTTGAGAAAGATAAAGAAATCTTTTAAGATTTTCCATTGTAATTATATCAATGCAGAGTCTATTCCCTGTCTAATAGAAGAAAATGAGGAGTCAAATTAGCCAATGATTTCTGATTTTAATCATATAAATATTGGAGTTAAGGTGCCTTATTGAACCGTCTTCTAAATTATTTTAGCATGAGTCAAAATTTTGATATTATTTTAAATGTCATGACTTTATTTGTTGATGGACATTTTCTTCCCCAGAAAATAAATAAAAAATAGCAACTTGTAAGTTAAACGTTTAATGATAATTTTGCTCCATGTGCCAGAAAATACCTTACAGCACAAGTTGACTATATGGCTATTTACATAATTAGGTTTTCTGCTTTAAGGCAATTTTTGCTATAATCTATATTGTCACAGAGTGTTATAAAACAGGTTCAAAAAAAGTTAAAATGTTAATGAAATTTTCCTGAGTAGGGCAAACTCTTAATGGTATCAAATTAGCTTTAGCTCTGCTTACAACATGGTAATTTATTGAATTGCATTAGAGCTGCTAAAGTCATTATTTGACCAAGTCATTTTTTGACACTTAATTTTTAACAGTCAGATTTCCATGTATGTCACTTGAGCACAAATGCACACCCTTCAAAGGAACCTTTGTTAGGAGCACTGAGCCTCACCTAGGCTGTAAAGTAAAGAATGGTTGTGGGTAGATGAGAATTTCTGTCAACTAGGAATAATTAACACTTGGCATTTTTAGTGTTGGTCACAATGGTGCCTTTGAACTAATTTGAACATCCATCCTGGGTAACAAAAAACCCCCCACCCCACCGCCAAAAACAAAAAAAGTGATGACTGACTATAAAAGGCTGGGGGGGGGGGGTGTTAACCCAAACTGTAATTAATGAGCTTCCTAGTAATCAACCTTGGCTGTGGTTATCATTTTTTATCATTGCTGACTAGATTTTGTGTTTCTCTCTTCATTTGTGTTGTAGCTTTCGAGTGTACACAGCGAACCACAGGATGGGGTCAAAAGGCCATTGAAGCGCGCTCTTTGCAAGCAAAGGTTCTGGAAAGTGAGCTGAAGCGTAGGTCGATTAAGAAGCTGAGATTTCTGTGTACCCGGGGTGACAAGGTATGGCTTATAGCCTCCAGTCAGAGCGAAAAATAGACCATTGAAAATTAACAAAGGAAGTTTAGGACATTACTGGCTGGCCATAAATATACGCACTGTATTTTTCAAATGGGCATACCTTGACAAAACCAATTTTATGTTTTGCAGTAGAAACATTGATTTGGTAACTGAGGATATTTGATTTTCTTAAAAAGTTTCAAAAATAAAGTAACAACTCTAGTTGTGTCTTAAGCAGTGCTCAGCTGATTTTTTTATTTGATACAAAATCCTTTATCATCATCATCTTTGATCCATGTTCCTTTTCGTGTGAAAATAATCACCTGAAACAAAATGCTTGAGCAAGTCTGTCTTTTATAGATTTCAGCATAATCCAATAACAGAAGAAAGGGGTATTTATGTTTACTGAGCACCTTGTTACATAATAGGCCTTATGCTAGGTACTTTATATTTTGTCATCACAATTGGGGATTATGACCATTTTGCAGGAAAGAAAATTAAAATTGAGGTTTGGCAATTTCATCAGTTTTGTCAACTAACTCAAATGATTAAGATAGAAAAGCAATTGCATATGTATACAAAATGTCACTCTCTATGTCATTGTTTTTTTTTTTTTAATTTATTTGACAGGTAGAATTATAGACAGTGAGAGAGACAGAGAGAAAGGTCTTCCTTCCATTGATTCACTCCCCAAATGGCCACTACGGCTGGCATTGCGCCAATCTGAAGCCAGGAGCCAGATGCTTCCTCCTGGTCTCCCATGCGGGTGCAGGGTTCCAAGCACTTGGGCCATCCACCACTGCCCTCCCAGGTCACAGCAGAGAGCTGGACTGGAAGAGGAGCAACTGGGACTAGAACCCAGTGCCTATATGGGATGCCGGCACTGCAGGCGGAGGATTAACCAAGTGGGCCACGGTGCCGGCCCCTATGTCATTGTTTTTAATTCATTATATCAATCTGTGGATGTCAGTCCACTTCAATGAAAAAGAAAAAAAACACCAAGTAAAAAATTTCATTGTCTGTGCAAACCTCCACAGCAGTGGTAAACAACATCTAAATAATTTGTTTCTTTATATTAAAAGAAAAGCTGGCTTTAGTAAAAATAGGTTTTTTTTCAGATTGATTCCCAAGTAGAGTTTTTTAAATTTTATTTTCATTTAAAAATTGTAAAAGATATACAAAAATTGTACATATTTATTGACTAATACATTTGTCTCTTCAAATATTTAATATTTCTTTATGGTGAAGGCATCCTGCTAACCAGAACTTTAGCAGTGAAAGCCACCTAGAAAAAAAAGCTAATCTCATTTGAACCATATAAATTGCAGTTATATAGAATATGGGCAAAGCTTACTTTTAAAGATATAATTTAGACTCCAAATTGATTTAATATCTTATTCTTTAATTTGAGGAAAACCTATTCCAAAAAATGCTCTAATATTTTAATTAGCAGATACAGATAAATTAGATATATAGTACTTTCCAGTTTGAGTTAGCAAATATCTGGTAAGAATATATTGAAAATTTACTCATGGTGTATTTCTTTCTTTCTTTCTTTCTTTTTAAAGCTGTTCTTTACCTCTACCCTGCGGAATCGCCACAGCCGGGTTTACTTTATGACCCTTGGAAAACTTGAAGAACTTCAAAGCAATTATGATGTTTAAAAGGTTCCAGTGATTTATTACACCATTCACAAACAGCATATATATGCTACTTGCATCTTCAGATTTATGAGATTAAATAAGCATTCAGTTTTATTGTTAGAGAAAAATTAATCAAAAACTTACTTTTAATGTAGCACAGAATAGTTTTTAACAAAAAATGCAGCTTTATATATAAAATTAACTATAGCAAGCTCTATGTACTCCAGTGGTGTACAATATCTTTTGCACAAACTTTGTAACTTTTGTTACTGTGAATTCAATCATTACTTTTAGGACACTTTGGACAGTATCCATATGCAGATTTTACAACATGGAATAAGGAAACCTGTTATGAATTAGATTACAAGAAGCTTTCAAAAAATTGGCCCTGGATAATATTTTCCAGAAAAAAATTTTATATGCACAAATTATTTGTGATTTTTTTTTCCAAAATCATATAAAGAAACAAAGACTAAATGATAATAGTAAAATCATAAGGACTATGGTATAACTGAGACTAAGGTTAAACAACCTGCATTCCCAGAAAAAGCAACAGGGATAAAGGGGAAAAGGCCTACCCATTATCTTACAGTGAGGCCCACAATTGTGTTCTTTTCACCCCATGTTAAGGTGGTTTTCTCCTGAGAAGAAGAAAGGAAGGAAGCCTCAGAGGCTTGATTTTCCTCAGAACCCCCAAAGATGTGCAATAGCTGTTTTTACAAACCACCAAATAATACACTTGCAAGCCTGAATACAGGACTGAACTCCTATATGCATGTACTGTAGAATGAGTTTTTTTTTTAATATTTTTAAAATATAGGCGTCAAATTCTATCCCCAAGATTGCTTGATTTGTCAAAAATTATTATCTGATCAACAGTGTGACCAGCAGATAGATAGAATCAAATATTCACTCAATCACAAATTAAACTATATAGACACTTCCCTGCAGTTAGTAAACGAAAGTAAAGCCATGAAACATAACAAGAAAACACTGATTGCTAATACTTGTGTTTTCGTATGTCTATCTCAGTAAATCAGAATTTCAAACGATTTCAGTGATTAGTCCCTATGTAGAGACATGATGTTATAGATAAAGATTTTGAAAAAAACCGCATCATGTGTCTCAGTCTGCACAATTAGAGTAGTTGCAATCATGCTAGTCCGTCACCCAAATTTGAAGAAGACGCCATAGATAGGTGAAATTTGATCACCTATGAGAACTGCTACCTGGTAAAAAGCATAACTTCTGCATATCCATCCTCAATACCATGGTTAGTTCTGGGGCAGTAGACAAGCAAACAGAACTACCACCAAGTATACCTCATTAACAATTCCTCTAGTTCTGCTTCTAAAATCTGAAGACAGTGCTATTGGGATAATAATTTTCAAACTACCTGGTTAACCAAAATACAAAAGCAGCTGACTGTGTGTGATTTCTTGATCACACATTGTTTCTTGGCACCTTAGTGCCAGAAATGAAGATTTGGATTTTCCTAACAACTTCTATCAAGAGTTTAGTAGCTCAATATTGAGAATTTAGGAGAACCTGAATCCATGAATTGAAGAAATAAATGTGATTCACATTTCTGTTACTGTGACACAATAATGTGATCCTAAAACTGGCTTATCCTTGCGTGTTTACAACTCAAGTAACTTTTTAAATACAGTAGTTTTAAAAAGAAAACAAACTTTATGTCAATTATTTCCTTAGAAGTAGTCTTCATTATTATAAATTTGTACACCAAAAGGCCATGGGGAACTTTGTGCAAGTAACCCATCGCTGAGCAAATGGAGCTTGCTATGTTTGACTTTCAGAACATTTTCTCATTTTAAGTAGTGTGTAGAATCAAGTCTTTTAAGAATTCATTTTTTTCTTCATAATATTTACTCAAAGTTAAGCTTCAAAATAAGTTTTATCTTCAAGTCATATTTTTAAGGCAGTAAGACAAACTATTTTAGGCAATCAACTCCCATTGTGCCCTGTGGCAGTTATTCCAGCCATCATAGGCAACAGTGAACTCAGTCTACGGAGATGTCCAAAAGTAACCACACAAGAGAGATGGGAAATGTGCAACTGAGCTCTAAGGGATGAGATGTTAAATGAAGAGAGGAAACTGAGGACATGTCAGGACAGAAGATTATAGTGTTGGGGAGCCAAATAGAAAGGGCTGCACTTGCTTAAAGTGGTTCCTAGGAAATGGGTATTTCCAACTTGGATGTAAATCCATCTCAAACCTTTGCCAACTAAAACAAGGAACCAAAGAGACAATGAAATGTCATAGCAGTGCGCTTTGTAATAGAAGAAATTATATCTACTCTTCACCTTGTCGCAGGGATGCTTGGAAGCCCTAGCCCTTCTCAGAAGTGTGGAGGAGGATTCCTGACAAGCCAGTTTTCTGAGCCCTGGGATTTGAAGCACGAAAAGTTCTGGCAGGTCGTGAGCAGTACTGGGACTAGAGTAGGGTTTTATGTTAGTGTAATTCAGGTATTTTTTTCCCCCACCAAAACCCGTGTCCAAAATAGGCATTCTTGGATATGTTTGAAAACTATAAAATGATGCATTAAAAAGCTAATGATAAAATTTCTGAGTGATCAAGTCAGTTGAGAAGGTAAGCTCCTCAGAGCGAACAGAAAGAAAGGGAAACCATTAAGAGGGTAAGACAGACAACTGAGAATCACACATGCACCCCCACACACACATACATGCAAGCATGTGCACAAACATTTAAATGTAGACATTTTAATATGTTCACTGTTGCAAGTTTCTAGATGAATGAATCTCTGAGTGTTTTCTGCCAAGATTCATTTAGAAAAGACAGTATTCATAAAACTAGGAATAATGCCACAGATATTCAATGGGATCTTTTTAGTACTTCTCAATTTGTTTCAAGAAATGTGCCTGTTTAAATCAGTTTGTATTCAATCTGTACTCTTAAAAAATGAAACAATCTTTGAGACTGCTAATTGTTTCATCAGAAACTCTGCAATGAATTATTCAATCTATAACAATAAAAATTTTTAAAATCGTTTGTTGATGTCATTATTGAAATATACTTGTCTAATGTCTTAGAATTAGGACTCATTCAAGTACTCATTTCTTTAAATTATATAGTAATGCACTGAATAGAAAATGCTAGAACTTCTTCCTGCTGTTGTTAAATTAGGAATTCCAGCCAAGGCGGGATATATTCATCTGATAAAGATCTTTCTGGGTAATGGTGAAATTGGAAACTGATTAAATTTCCTCTACATGTATGAGAGTTTACACCAAGGTACAGACTCACTTGATACATGTAAAACCAAACAAGTTTTGATGATGCCTTTCCTTCTATCCCACCCATGTATCTTCAAGCCTAGTGAAAAGGAAAGAGGAGGAATGCTATCTGCTGAGAGGAGTAAATACTTACACTTCTTAACCTTCAAGAAAGGATTTGGTGTAGGGTAATGGTATTAAACAGAAGATGGGGTAATCGTGATCGCCTGTTGAGGAAACTAAGTCCTCTTGGATCAGGAGAGCAGCACTTCCCTCAGCAGATGTTGGCAGTTAAGCATTAGAATCGCGATCCCATGCACACCCTTGTCATCTAGCTACATTCCAGAGCCGTATTCACTAGGCTTTCCCATTAAGTCCTGCTGATCGTGGTTTCAATTTGTCAGACATAACCAGGCATTTGGGAGCTGAGCTACCTGTACATATTAAACTTGGCCAGACTTTTAGAGGCTCAATTAAAAATACCTCATTACAATTAAATTGATTTGTTCATCTTTGTATTAGAGGGCCCACTGAATGTAATCACTTTAAAGGATAATATTATGAGCAAAGGAATAAAAGAAGCTCACAAATCAGAATTAGTGTGGACAGGGTGAGGTCCCAAGTCTGAGAAAGAAGGGACCCTTTACCAAAATGTGGGGACAGGGTAGGTCACAAAGTCATTAGTCATTAGCTACTGCTGACTTTATCACAGACAAAGGGAGAAGGTCGTTTACAGATTACAATGCTGCAAATGTATTGATAACATTTTTCCCAATGCTTATTTCTAATCTGGTAGCTCCCTTTTAAAAATGTGTAGTGCCAGGGCCAGCGCCGTGGCACACTAGGTTAATCCTTCACCTGCAGCGCTGGCATCCCATATGAGCACCAGGTTCTAATCCTAGTTGCTCCTCTTCCAGTCCAGCTCTCTGCTGTGACCTGGGATAGCAGTGGAGGTTGGCCCAAGTCCTTGGGCCCCTGAACCCATGTGGGAGACCAGGAAGAAACTCCTCGCTCCTGGCTTTAGATCAGCATAGCTCCGGCCATTGCGGCCATTTGGAGAGTAAACCAACGGAAGGAAGACCTTTCTCTCTGTCTTTCTCTCTCTCTTTCACTGTCTGTAAACTCTACCTGTCAAATAAATTTTAAAAAATGTGTAGTGCCACTGCTCATTTAAGGATAATCAGGTTCCTAAGGATAATAAAACCATTGAGTGTGGGAACTCTAATTTCAGACATTGAATGGAGGCAGCTAATGAGTTACAGTCATCCTTCCAAAAACATTATCACATGTCATGGGTGTTCTAAAATGTGTGTGTGTGTGTGTGTGTCTTATTCTTTGAAAGAGAGAGAGATGGAGAAAAATAAAGCCCCAGCCATTTCTCAGTTCACTTCTCAGTTGCCTACAGTATTTGGAGCCAGGCTGAGGTCAGAGCCAGGACCTGAGAACTAAATTCTGGTCCCCTAGGTGGGTGGCAGGAACCCAACAATTGAGTCATCACCACTGTCTTCTACAGCTGACACTAGAGGAAAACAAATCAAGCCTGAGCAGATTCAGATTCAGTCTCTCTGATGTGTGATTCAGGTGTCCTAACTACTAGGCCAAATGTACAGCCCCACATATCATGTTTTATGCTCATAATCATATCAACTGATTGAAAATTAGTAGTTCCAGAGGAAGTAAAATGTATTCTATATTTTCAGAAGTTAATCCACAAAATATTTTGTGAATGAATACAAAATCAGATTTGAGATGGTCTCTTTTTTGTATTTACACCATCCTGTATGTCAGAGTGCCTCATTTTGTGCCTAACATACGGAAAATCTTCAATAAAAACAAACTGAAGGGGAGAAGTGGGCCTATATTTTTTGGTCTGCATTTCCCTTATTGCTATTTTATTTTTAACCACTTAAAATTCACCAGTCCATTTGTTGTTTCATGAAATCATCTGTGTTCTGGTGACAAAAGAGTAGTGATGTATTTTGTGTAATTTCAAAAGGTTTTATCTCACAAACCTTAAATGAAGCAAAGGATAGATCAATATAAAACTCACATCTTTAAAATTTTTATTTACCTTTAAAATCAACACATAAGGAGCCACTATGAGCATTTAGTAATTAGAAAAAGATTGTGAATAGTAATAGTGTTTAGTAAAATGAAAACAGCACAAAAATAAGCCATTCAGCTCGTTACTTTTTACAAACATTGGATTTGAATGTGATCCTTTTTCACAAGACTAACTCCTTGTATTGTAGCATCCTGAGGCATGTTTAGGGATTTCAGCTTGTCAATATAATTTTCCCTCAAAAATTTTAACTATGTTCCTATAAACTGATCCCCAGCACTCCCTAAAGGAAATTTTTTAGCATATGAAAGAGTCAGTCCCTCTGACTTCAGATAGGGGAGTAGCCACTGACCTGTATGTCAATGGGACCATCTATCCAAAAGTCTAAAAACCATGCATGCAAGACCCCAAGGTTGAGTCTTACAAGTTGAGACAATCAGAAATTAATATAATGAAATTCATAGCAAAATGAACCACTCACAAATGAAAAGCTTCTCTCCACAAGTAATATTAAAAATGATATCATAAGCTGGAAAAATACAGGCTTCATTTGACATTTCAAAATGTATTTAAGAGTTTTCTCTACAAACTTGATTGTGCATGCAAATAGAAATGGCTATTTGGACTCCAATTCCCATCTCCCCAGTCCAAGGGGGAAATTTAATAGTAATCATCACTTGGGTTTTCTACAGTCATCCATTAAGGTTTTACGAATATCCCAGGCATCTCTTTCAGCTCAGAAAATTCAGGGATGCCCCAGTGGTCTAGATTACTCACTTATCCACATTGCTCACTTAGGTCTTGTAGTGGCTCCAAATCTTCTAGGGCATGTGTGGCCATGGCACTCTTTGTCAAGTCAGGGAGCCCAGTGAGCTAATGTCATATTCACCAGGTTCTCATTTCCTTTGTTAGCACCAGGTGGGCATGGTTTCCTGCTGCTTTGGAAACCATAATTCCATTGGGGCCAGTGCTGTGGTGCAGCGGGTTAATGCCCTGGCCTGAAGCGCCAGCATCCCATATGGGCGCCGGTTCAAGACCTGGCTGCTCCACTTCCCACCCAGCTCTCTGCTATGGCCAGGGAAAGCAGTAGAGGATGGCCCAGTCCTTGGGCCCCTGCACCCACATGGGAGACCTGGAAGAAGCTCCTGGCTCCTGGCTTCGGATCGGCACAGCTCTGGCCATTTCGGCCAATTGGGAGTGAACCATCAGATGGAAGACCGACCTCTCTCTCTACCTCTCCTCTCTCTGTGTAATCCTGACTTTCAAATAAATAAATCTTTAAAAAAAGCCATAATTCCAGGCCAGCACCACAGTGGCTTGGAGGGTTAAGCCACTGCCTGTTGTGCTGGCATCTCATGGGGTACAGGCTTATGTCCCGGCTGCAACACTTCAGATCCAGCTCTCTGCTATGGCCTGGGAAAGCAGTGGAAGATGCCCCAAGTGTTTGGGCCCCTGCACCCACTTGAGAGCTCCAGAAGAAGCTCCTGGCTCCTGGCTTCGGATCAGCACAACATGGCTGTTGCAGCCATTTGGGGAGTGAACCAGATGCAAGATCTCTGTCTTGCCCTCTCTCTCTCTCTCTCTAACTCTGCTTTTGAAATAAATAAATCTTTACAAAGAAAAGGAAAATAAACCATACTTCCTTCTGTAGTTTTCCAGTCCTGGTGGGTCTCCCTCTCTACTCCAAGATTTTGAACTTCCGTCTCCACCCCACCCAATATTAAAGGGCGTTTCCTCTTCCATTGTGGAGGTGTCCTGATATGATTATGTCAAAGGATTCAATTTTGACAGGCGCCGCGGCTCAATAGGCTAATCCTCCGTCTGCTGTGCCAGCACCCCAGGTTCTAGTCCCGGTTGGGTTGCTGGATTCTGTCCCGGTTGCTCCTCTTCCAGTCCAGCTCTCTGCTGTGGCCCGGGAAGGCAATGGAGGATGGCCCAAGTGCTTGGGCCCTGCACCCTCATGGGAGACCAGGAGAAGCACCTGGCTCCTGGCTTCAGATCAGCACAGTAGCAGCCATTTGGGGGGTGAAACAATGGAAGAAAAGACCTTTCTCTCTGTCTCTCTCTCTCTCACTGTCTAACTCTGCCTGTCAAAAAAAAAGGATTCAATCTTTATTTACTTGAAAATCATAGTTACAGAGAGAGACACCGAGAGACAGAGACAGATAGATCTTCCATCTGCTGGTTGCCTTTCTAAGTGTCTGCAGCAGCCAAGGTTCCACTGTGCCAAAGCTTGGAGCCTGGAACTCCACCTGGAGTTGACTGTAGAAGACCGTGATGATGATTCAATAGTTGGGTTCCTGCCACCCCCCTAGGAGATCAGAATTTAGTTCTCAGGTCCTGGCTCTGACCTCAGCCTGGCTTCAAATACTGTAGGCAACTGAGGATTGAACTGAGAAGTGGCTGGGGCTGTCTTTCTATCCATCTGTCTCTCCCTGGGTCTCCCATTTGAGTGGCAGGGGCAGGGGCCCAAACACTTGGACCATCTTCTGCTGCTTTCCTAGGCACATTAGCAGGGAGCAGAATTGGAAGTGGAGCAACTGGGACTTGAATCTGTGCCCATATGGGATGCTGGCATTGCAGGTGGCAGCTAAACCCGCTGTGCCACAATGCTGGCCACAAAGAGCTTAGGCTTTGAAAAAAAACCCAGGAAGGTTTTCAGATATTCTTCCTTTAAGTCCGACTGCATGAGTATATCCTCTCGACTCACATTA